GCCCCCCCCCCCCCCCCCCCTCTTGTAAAGCTTGATTTTCTGCCCCTTTTTTCACTTTCATTCACGCCTTAATTTGATGCACAACCGAGGCGCAAAGCCTAATAGATATTTGTCATTGGGACAAAAGGTGAAATGTGTTCTGATCCGTGTTGCCACAGGGTGGGGAATTCCTCCTTCACGAACAGATACGTCAATCACCGCGTCACCGGGCCACGGTCGGCACCGACTTCCTCTCCAAAAACGGTCCACGTGGATGGAGACACGCTGAACCTTCAGGTGAGCTCCTGCGTCCGCCTGCCATCAGCACCCGTGTATGTGTGTGTGTGTGGAGGAGATGTGGTTGTGACAGGTGTCTTCATAATAGTAATTAATTAAGTTAACAGTAACAGAATCAGCAGACGGGTTCATTTGATTCGTTTAGAAAATAGTTGGATGATGGATCATTAATGGACACATGTTCTTATCTCAATAAGACAGCTGTGTTTTCTTCTTCTACGCTGCTGTAGATGCCTGCGCTGATCCAGCTCACATAAAGGCCTCCGGCTCCTTATTCGTGCCGTGTTAACTGGCCTCGGGTCACTAGCACTGTCTGACGCTCGCACTGTGACCTCTGCAGGTGCCGGTCAGCAAGGCCCGGCAGCGGTGCGAGCAAATCGGGAGGACCTGGACGTGGAGGAGCCGTTCCTGAGTTCCCGCTTGCGGCAGGTGATTCCCGGGGTCGCTTTTGAATCTTTGCTGCGAGGGTGAGGAAGAAAGACGCAAAGCAGCTCGTCTTATGTTTATGTTTTAACATGTTTATTTTTTTGATGATAAAAGATACATTACTCCCTACAGTACAAAAAACACACATTGGAAAATACAGGACATTTCCAGATAACCTGCAAAGAGCCGAGAGAAACTCGCAACACCTGCGAGTGCTGAGAGCAGCGCTCGTCCCAGTGTGGGAGGGAAAGTTCAGAGAGACCTCGGCACCGCTGATGACCTGTCTAACGAGGGCGCAAAAATAGTGACCCGCCAAGGTGCTGTGGAAGGAAAGGACACAATTGTATACCACATGGAGAGAGGAACCAACTCATTAAATGTTTTTGGGGTTTTTTTCTTTTTTTTTTTGAGAACCTTCAGTTTATGGTCTAACTTAAGGCATCACTACTAAAATACACTGCTTTTGCATGCATGTCTAGTTTTGTTCAACAGACACACTGACACACACAAATTATGAATGCATATGAGAGAGAAAGTTATTTTCTAGTATGAAATAGGGGGAGAAACCAAGGCGCCGGTCGGAGAAAAGGCGGCGAGCGAAGACCTCGGCTGTGATCATCCTGGCCGTTACCGTAACAACTGAATCCGCTCTTACAAAGTAGATATACACTCATGTCCGGTCAGAAACTTCCTCCCTGTACGACTTCTTATACCGTAATGAAACTAGCAGTGATTCAGACTCCTACAGTGAATCAGCTCGACAGAAGCAAATTAAAACCATCAGGGAGACTATATATATATATATGTTTCTTTTATAAGTAGAGACACAAAAAGGCAATCAAGAGATGACCAACATGTAAAAACAGTTTGTTACAGGTAATTATATAAAAGGCCAAGATATTGTCGTTTTGTTTGTTTTATTCTTGCGCTATGAAGGAACTAATTTACAAGTGAGTACACTCCGACTACGTAAGCGTTCTTCCCAAGACATCCCCGTTCAAAAGACATACGGCCCAACGCGTCACAGTAAGCTGCACACCATCTGCCGTCTGAAGTACAGAGCCGTGGAAGGAAAACAAAAGTTAAAATTTATTAAATGGATTCACATACATCAATAGGAAAGGGAAAATATGTCGACTAATATAATTTGCCATTCTAAAAATGAAAGAAGACGCCACATTCATGAGCATAAAAAGGGCAGGACAACTGATCGGGATGTTTTGGGAGGGCTAGGTAAGAAAAGATCAGGTGTTTTCCTCATATGCCGGCAAATTCCATGTTTGGCAAACAAAGCAACACAAGCGTCGAGTAGTAAACAAAGTAAAAACTCTCCCTGGGTCCACTTCAAAGTTCCCTTCAGTCCTATAACCTCTGTGGGTTCTACTTGGAACAAATACAAAAGTTCTTCTCGCTTTTGTTACCTTCTGTGAACAAGAACATACAACCAACTTAATGAAGATTTTTTTTTTTTAAAGAGTGGCAACCGCAACACAGCCACCGATCGTCCCACAAACACAAACTACGGTGGATGAACAACTGTTAAAAAAAGTGATGTTTTTAAAAACGCACACGACATACACATACACACGCAGGAGGGGGAAAAAAAGCTTAAAAAATACAAAAATAAACTACACAAATGATCTTCTGCGTCACTGCTTGCTAATTTTTTGGGAAGATTTTGAAGATGTGTGTGTGTGTGTGTGTGTGTGTGTGTGTGCTGCAAGTCTCAGTTCTAGCAAAGTCTGTCATTCAATTTCTACAAATCTCTTCGTCGTTCTCTTTTTTTTGTCCACTTTGAAGTGTCGGCCATCAGTCCTCATCTTGGGGTCAAAAGCGCACAGTGATGACATTTACAGGAGACGGGAGTCCAGCACGATGAATACAGACTTGGTTCTCAATGAAGCAAATTTGTTTTGACCAAAAAAAAAAAAAAAAAAAAAGGGAAAAGAATGATGTCCTCTGTCGCTGAGGACAAGTGCTTTATTTGTATCCATACCGATTTTTCCTCTCATCTAGACTCATGCCTCCACAGCCGTTTTCAACACTGTACATCATTTCGTGTAGTCTCTCTCTACATCCCCCCAGGATTTACCAAACAAAAAGACAAAAACAAAGGTAACAGCGAGCTCAGGCCGGCTCCCTGTTTGTGAAAGATGGAAATTCTTCTCTACACTGCTTAACTACTGAAATAAGCCAAAAGTAAACGTTAAACGATTGGAGGGGATGTGACTGAAAAAGATAATGTGCTTCTAAGTTTGTGTTGCTCTAAAAATAGTACAACCAACAGAACGAGGAGGAAGGAGGTTTTTTTTTTTATCTACAGAAACATCTCTCAGATTGACTTTCATCTCTGCATCATACGCTTGTTCTGCCTCCATTGCCGTCTTGATCTGAGACTTGAGGGTGGAGGATGAGACTAGGATGAGGATGAGGGGTGAAGGTCAGTCTTCTTGATAAAAAGGACAACGAGTGAAAAAAAAAGGACAAAAGAGTGGGAGGGGTCTCTGGGCAACCTCACTGGTCCGTCCTTGCTTTCTTTGGACCAGTAGACTTGCTGCAAGGACACACATAAAACCACAATGAGTATTTCATCTTTCATCAGTGCAACGTTGATGTCGAGCCCGTGGGAACCGTGGACACTGTACTTACGTATCAGGAGAGGTGCCTGGTCTTTTGGCGGCCGGTTTTGCAGAGGCGGCGTCTTTGCCAGATTCTACAAAAACGCAGAAAAAACGTTGGAAATACATTTATTTATCCAACAATGAAGATAGTTACTTTATTCATTGTGCAAGGGCAGTTTTTTTTCTAACTAAATAGGGAAAAGATTTAGCCAATACAATAGTGTAACACTGGAATAGTTGTGCGATTGATTTGGCCAGAGGGGATTTATTGTAAAGTCTCACTGCAGTGAGCAGGAATGACCTCCTGTATGTCCCTGTGAGTGACTTCGTCACTCCCCCCCCCCCACCGCTTGTGACCCAGGTTGGGTGCTCACCTTGCAGCCATCGGACTTGGGTGGCGGGACCGTAGCCTTTCTCATTGCGGGCCGCAATGCGGAAGATGATGGCTGGCTTGGTGGTGTAGTCGATGTGGGCGTTGGAGAGGCTGGACGACTGCACCAAGCAAGACGGGTTGGGTCCACAGTACACGCGCATGAAGGCCAGCTGGGCCGGGGTGGAGGCCTTGGCCTCGGCCGTCTGGTTGCTCTGGATGGCCAGGTACACGGAGTACTCGATGATCTTCCCCGACGTCACAGAGGGCGGCTCCCAGGTCAGGTGGGCACCGTCCGGGCTCTGCGGAGGGACAGTGGACGATTACTACCAGGTGGCTGAGAGCGGCCGACAAGGACAGCTGGTGGCACAACCAGGTAAGGAAAGACGGGAACGGGGCTTTGACTGCAGGGTTTGTTTACCTTGCTGATTTTTATGGCGCAAGGTGCCCCTGGGAAGCCTGGTAGGCAGGTCTTGAAGGCAGATATCTCAGAGAAAGCCCCGCGGCCACAAGCGTTGATTCCGGCAACGCGGAACTTGTAAGCCGTGCCGGGCTGCAGCTCCATCTTCTTCATCTGGCCGTAGTCGGGCATGACGCCAGAGTCATCCTGAAAACTCAAAAGATTAGAGATGCACCGAGCGAGTCAACAGGAAGACATCGAAGCAGGAAAACAAATACTTACATCTCCTTGAGAACTGTCTCCTGGCATATAGAAGTGGGTGACCACCATATTTGTCACTTTCACAATTCCAACATCAAACCACTGGTTCTCTTTCTTTACAACGGGCTTCACTGGGGTTGGCTGAGGAGCTTGCTTCTGCAAGAAAATAAAAGCAAAAAGTAGAAGTTGTTACATTTCTATTCCGTTTGACCAAACCACCCTGAAGATGTCCGATAACTCACCTCCCCCTCGATCCCGTTGGCGACCTCCGCTAGAGCGGCCGCTGCTTGTAGCTTGGCCGGACTCGCCACCGACACAGAGGGCGCAAACGTGCTTGATGGAGCGAGTGCTGTAAAGTTACAAAGGAACAGTCAAGATGGGTTGAAAATCAAATCCAAAGCAACGGTCAGAAGAAGAAATAGGTCTTACTCTCAGCGGTGGGACGAGGGAGCAGTGATGCTACGGCGCTGGTGACCGCCGCGGCCATCTCATTGTGCCCGTTGCTCTCGACCGAGGGGTCGTTGAGGCTGTCGGCGGGGGCGAGGCCCTCAGTGGGCAAACTTGCGTCCACGCTGGCCTGCTGGGCTGCAGCCTGAGCTTCCTGCATCTGCAGCTGCTGCTGCTGATGGACCAGCGCTGCGAGCTCCTGTTGGGTTAACATGATGGGGATGCTGGTGGGCTGCTGGTTCTCTCCAGTGGAATCACCCTCATCTAAAAACAGGGGAGATATTGCTGAACTTGGACATTGACAGAGGGAATCCCTCCATTTTGTAAAGGCAGACAAACAACGACAACACATGTCAAAATCAAAGCTAAACCAAGTGTGCACGGAGCTCTGAACATGGCTAAACTCACTCATTACTGCTTGCTGGGCGGCCTGGAGGACAGCCTGGATAGCGAGGGCCTGGGCTTCTTCAGTGGCTGCTGCCTGTGCAGCGGCCTCCGCTGCTGCAGTCACAGCTAGCTCCTCGTCCGACAGCCCCGTCACCATGAGAGTGGCGCCCTGACCCTCAGACATCAGCTCTGAGGGCAGATTTAAGGTGGCAGCGGTGGCTGCTTCTCCCTGAGAGGACACATTGAAAGGGTCATATGCTGTATACACTGTCCACATCTTTGAATTTTTAGCCGACGCCCCCTTTCTTTGACATAAAAGTCATTTTTTTAATACCTCTGCTTGTGTCTCCATAGCGCTGGCTCCCTCCTCTACAGCTGCAGCATCTGCTGATGCCGTCTCATCAGTTTGCATGGGTTCCTCTGTGGAGCTGGCAGCAGTACTCACTCCCTCTGCGATTGATGAGATCGACTGGATAGAAACAAAGAAAAAAAAAGATACAGATTGGTCGCAATGGGAAATTAGGTTTCAGGAAGAAAGGTGAAAGTGTCAAAGAACCATGACTCAGCAGAGGTTAGATCCCTTGTTCATTTCTTACAGGCACAGAGGGTCCGGGGGCTGGTGTTGATTGAGTGACAGTAGTGATGGCCCTGCCCTGAGTTGTGGTAACCATGCCAGCTGCCGGTGCTGCTGCTGCAGCAGTGGTGGGGGGGATGGGGACGGGGGCGGGGGCGGCGGCGGCAGCAGTGGCATCAACTTCTGGGCTGCTGGTACTTTCTGCTCCCTCCTCTGTCTGCTGGGCTGATGATGGACACAAAAACACAATTTAAATTGGACTTCCAACCAATACATTTATCCCGCTATCAATTACAGTAAATGTGGTTATACCGGTGCCTTCGCCAGTCTCCATGTTGCAGGTGGCAGTGGTAGCTGTGTTGGTGGTACCCGTTTCGTGCGTTTCACAGGGCGGGTTGGAGCACACCCTCTGGGCCTGGCCCGTGGATGTACTGGTCTGGTCGCTTCCCATGTTGGAGGCGGATGTGGACTGGGAGTTGGTGGTCCCAGTCTCGTGCGTTTCACAGGGCGGGTTGGAGCACACCCTCTGGACCTGGCCCGTGGATGTACTGGTCTGGTCGCTTCCCATGTTGGAGGCGGATGTAGACTGGGAGTTGGTGGTCCCAGTCTCGTGCGTTTCGCAGGGCGGGTTGGAGCACACCCTCTGGACCTGGCCTGTGGATGTGCTGGTCTGGTTGCCTTCCGTGTTGGAGGTGGACTGGTTGTTGGTGGCCCCAGTCTCGTGTGCTTCGTACGGCGGGTTGGAGCACGCCCTCTGGGCCTTGCCTGTGGATGTACTGGTCTGGTCGCTCCCCATGTTAGAGGTGGCTGTGGACTGCGAGTTGGTGGTCCCAGTCTTGTGTGTTTCGTAGGGCAGGGTGGAGCACACCCTCACCACCTGGCCGGTCGATGCACTGGTCTGGTTGCCTTCCAGGTTGGAGGTGGACTGGTTGTTGGTGGTCCCAGTCTCATGTGTTTCGTCAGGTGGGTTGGAGCACACCCCCTGGACCTGGCCCGTGGACGTACTGGTCTGGTTGCCTTCCATGTCGGTGGTGGACTGGTTGTTGGAGGTCCCAGTCTCGTGTGTTTCGTAGGGCGGGTTGGAGCACGCCCTCCGCGCGGTTGTCGTCGTCTCGCTCGTGTTCATGTTAGATGCCGACTGGGTGGCTGTGTTGGTGGTGCCGGTCACGTGGGTCTCACATGGTGGGTTGGAGCACTGCTGCTGGACTTCTCCCATGTTAGCCGACGCTGTGGTGGCTGTGTTGGTTGTTCCGGTTTCATGGGTTTCGCACGGTGGGTTGGAGCACATGCGTGGCGCGGACATGTTTGATGACGCAGTTGTGGCGGTGTTGGTGGTGCCGGTTTCGTGGGTCTCGCACGGTGGGTTGGAACACACCTGTCCTGCTCCCATAGCAGCAGAGGCGGTGGTGGCTGTGTTGGTGGTTCCGGTCTCGTGAGTCTCGCAGGGCGGGTTAGAACAGACCTGTCCGGCTCCCATGGCGGCCGATGAGGTGGTCGCGGTGTTGGTAGTTCCTGTTTCGTGGGTCTCACATGGGGGGTTGGAGCAGACCAGGGTGACAGTTCCAGAGCCGTCGCCAGCTGCTCCAGCCTCAGAAGAGCTGGGCTGCTCGGAGGTTGGTGAAGCAAGGATGGACACTGGTAGATCCTGTACCGGTTGAGCTTCTACTCCACTGGGAGTTGTGATCAAAGTCACCTGGGTGGGCTGGTTCTAGACAAAAGACAGTTCAGTTTAAGTCACACAGCTCAAAAGAAAGTCATTTTCTGCCTTTGTTAGTCTGGTGGTAGCTCTGCCACTGTTCTGTGATAACAGAAACAGGCCTTTGTTTAATGAAGTAATTAAAGTTTTTGGCGCATGGTGCTGCCACAATGATTGCAATGCTAAAGACAACGATCTGCAGCGTCTTACTTGCACCGCCATGGTAGACGAGGGCAACGTGGAGACAGAAGTCAGGTTGGTCTGAGCAGCTGAAACGGTTATGGCAGCTGGGTTGATGACCTGGCTGGACAGGGTAGCGATGTTTCCCAGTGTGGTGATGGGGGTGGCCAGAGAGGCGTTTGAACTGTCCACCGTGGCTCCTGCCAGACTTGAGGAGACCGTCCCAGTGACTGTCCCAAGAGTGGTGACACCTGGAAGGAAGACAACACAAAACGGCTCAGTGGATATGTAATAACATAAACAGAAAAAAATCACAACAGTGTTATTCTTACCAGTGGTTCCCTTGACAACCAAAGTGGTGACAGTAGGCTTGACGGCAGATACGGTCACTGGCGTAACAAGTCGAACACCACCGACTGTGCTCATAGGCACGGTGCGCAAAATAGTGCCAGGTTGCCCCGGCGCACCTTTCAAAACCACCTAGAGAAATGGTTCAAGATTAGTCTCCTTGTGGGCCACATAAACAATGACTGCTCGAAAGACTTCTGCCAGCAAACAGTTGGATTACCTGTGTCAGTCCCTGTTGGCCGGCTGCAGTGCCGAGTTTGGGCACTGCAGTGATGATTTTGCCAGGGGTACCGGTGGTCATCACCTTTGTGGTGAGGATTGTGATCGGTGATTTCATGCCTCCACTGCTGGTCACACCTACGAGGACAAAGGCATGTGTGCCTCAAGGTTATTTCAATTTCATTACAATAACTTAAGATCATCCAAATACCAGACGGTGGATAATAAAACCATTTAGTTTTTAGTCACATTGATACCAGACTACATTATCACTACTTCTGTTGCTCAGCTGAAAACCCCACCAGATGACAACGAAAAGCAAATATCTGTGGTCAAAGTGTTCATCTGGCGCAGGTTTAGCTTCAAACGTCACTATTTTTTGTAGCACTGTCCTCGGTCATAAATGTGCGGCCCGTTGTGATATGGAGTTAAGAACGTAAACTTGCGTGAGTTTAGACCTGTAGCTCCTGACTGGGACATGAGAGCTGACATGGGGATGGTCTTGATGATGGTGGTGCCCTGCTTAGTGGTGCTAGGAGAGACGCCGCTGATGTTGAGGATATGAGGCTTGTTTCCTGTGCCTCCTGCCTGGGAAGTGGTGATGATGGTGGTGGGCTTGCCATCAGCGGAGGTCACCAGCTTTAGGATGGTGCCGGCTGGGAGGGGACCCTTTGTCTGGAAGGAGAGGCACACATTATATAAACCATTTGGAGGAATACACCTGGTGCCCTTCTAAGGAGTTTTAAGCGGCCGCCTGTTTTTTTCCCCAGCACTCATGCATATAGCTGACCTGTATGAGCTGTGTTAGAGGGTTAGTGGACGCCTGGCCTGTGATAGCTGATGTCTGCACTGGCTTGGTTTGTACCACGGACATCATCTTGCCAAGGCTGGAGATCTGCCAAAATAGGAGAGACATTCATGTTCATTAGTCACCAGGTATCACTGGATAGCACAATGGAGGTCAGTGGAAAACTGGCCCACTGGAGGATCTACAAATCTTTCCAGCCCTAACTAGCCCGCAGTAAATCACTAACATTATGCTCCCTGTTTGAGAGGAATTCTCCGTAGTCTGAACTTTACTCTCCTCCCCCCACTAGTTAAAGCTCAGTGCATGTTGTCAACATCTTGGGACTAAACAGGGAAAAACTAAAAGCATTTGATTAAAAAAAATGCAAATGACAAAACCTATTTACAGCCTGCATGTGGAAGTGCTAAAGGGGGCTCAACAGAGTGGTGGTCCAGTGACCTACTCTCTTACCAGTGTGCCGCCACTCCCCATGGTGAGGGGACTCTTGACCAGGGTGATTGTCTTGGTGACCCCACCCACCACTGTGGTTACCACCTGGGCCTGCTGAGCCACTGTGACTGCACCAGACTTGTGCACAGTGATGATGGGTCTGGTGTTGGTGGGAGAGGACGCAGTCCCTGTTCCCACCTGGGCTGCAGCTGTTTTCAGCATTCGAGTAGCTGGGTTACTGACCTACAAGCAAAGTCATTTTCAGAACCGACAGGCAGAATGCACACAATATTCGAAAAGATAATGTTCAGTGAGATCTCTACCATGAGTGGAGAAGCCATTTTCATTGTGGTTGTGCCAGGCGAAACAGCTACTGTTTTGAGAATGGTGGCCCCTGCAGGAACATTTAGGACAGTTCCTGCAGAAGAGGGTGGGATCTTCTGTGTTGCGGCAGCTGCTGCAGCCAAAGCTGCCATGCCGCTCATCTGAGGGCTACTACCAATTGGCTGAAAAGGCAAACAAGAAAACGCATTATTGGACCCATGCACTGGTTAACATTTTTATTTACTGCAGAAGAAAAACTTTAATGTGATCAAATTCTGTGCAAGATTGCGCCTCATACCGATCCCTGGGTGGGCTGCGCCGGCATCACCATACGGACACCTGGTGGAAGGGATGTCACAGTGACGGGGGATTTCCCGGGCTGGCTGGGGCGGACCGTGACAACAGACGTGCCTGTGGCAGACTGTTGAGCTGCAACCTTCAAGACAGCTGTCACATAAGAGAAGAGACAATCAAACTTTGTTTTTCGCAGTTGATTCGGTTTACTTGTTTCAGTGCAAACAACAGAGTTGGAAGCGTTAGAAAAGAGGAATCATTAGTCACTGTGTTATAATACCTGTCTGGGGTAAGCTTTGAGTAGAGGTTGCTGCTGCAGCCGGTGCAGGGCTCTTTGGAGAGTTCAAAGGCTGCACGGGACTGGCACTCATGACTGGCGAGGCTGCAGCTGGAGTTGCGGGGATGTCATATTTCTGCAGCTGCAGTAAGTAGGTGTCAGCAGTTGAGACTGCGCCCCAGCTCACTTCAAGGGAGTTTGTGTTGGCACGAACTAACTGCACCCTAGCAGGGGCATGTGGCCGCTCTGGGGAGGTGGAGGACAAGACACTCAACAACAACAACAACGACGACACCATTTGACAACCAGACATCCCTTCAAAAAGGGCAAAAACCACATTCAGACACGCTTACCTGTTTCCAGGTACCAGAGGTCTTTACAACAGACTTGGTTGTTCCAGGCTTTACGATAACCGTCGCGGCCGCTCCATACATAGAGTCTAGAATTGATGGCCACGGCACAGTGGCCAGCACGGGCCCGAGGGATGTTGTCTTCGAGGGTATCCATCAACACGGTCTCCCAACACATGGAGTCTACAAACAAACACGTGGTAAAAAGATTAACTCAAGCGAGGGCCGTTTTGCTAAAACCTCTTCTAATTGAGACTAATGGCGCGTTTCCACGAGCGGTACGGTACGGGTCGGGTCTGTTAACCATGATTTGGCGAGCGTTTCCACCGCCAACAGCACCCTTACTTGATGCGTGGTGTATTCCAGAAAGTAGTGATAACGTCACTTGATAGACGTGGTATATGACGGAAAGTAGATTGAATTCATTCGATCGCGCAAAAACTGAAAGCTAACCGCAAACAACAATGGAGGACATACAGCCTGTATGTAAGATCCTGTTCTTGCTTCTCGATATGTGGCTGTTTGTCACAAGGAGACGACAATCTTTGTTTGAGCAAAGGCTACATGCTGCAAGGAAAAACACACCGGAAAAATATGTGTGTTGTCTTTCCTTTTGCGGCACGCGCAAATGACGACTCTTTCAACCAATCAACGCTCTGCAGTGAGTCTAGCTCCACCCTTTAGTACCAAACAACTGTGCCAGGTACCCCAACGGAAGGGTACCTAAAAAGTGGTATGGTTCGGATTTTTGGTACTATTCTCAACTTTTGGCAGTGGAGACACAAATAGAAGGGTACCGACCCGTACCGCTCGGTGGAAACGCGCAACAAGTGTGATGAATACAGAGTTAGACAAACCTAGATTTAGGCAGGCAAGAGTGTTGGTGCACTTCCACTCCTTCTCGTGTGTGGCCACTTTGACATCATCCATTACCAATGGAACCCATCCTCCAAAAACATACATCCTGCACATTGAGAAAGAAATCAGTGAGATGCTGCTACCAACACACCCGGATCTTCTTAGAGTTCTGACATGATTAAATGCAACATTCAATGTTTTGCTCACTTGTTTGTGATGGTGGTGGCAGAGTGAAGACTTCTGGGGAGCGGTGCTGTCCCGTTCACTGATGGTTTGTTCCATGTCAGGGTATCTGTTGACAATGACCAGCAGTAGGAATTTACAAAAAAGCCCCTTTTGATTCGACATGCAACCAAAATCATTTAAGTGCCTCAGATAAGGCCTACTCTCACACGTCATTGTAATCCTCTCTGACGGTGTAGTACTCTGAGGGTGATGATGCTCAACCCGTGTTGTTCTTGAAAAGGTATAAATAGCCACACTTTCTCTGAGGGGTATCGTGCTTCTAGTCAAGCTTCTAGAAACCTACCAATATCAAGTGTCCACAGATCCCCAAGGCGACAACCACTCATCCCTCCATAGATTATCAGGCGAGATTTCCTGCTCGTCTTTTCTGTGTATACAACAGCAGTGTGGCTCTCCCGAGGAGGAGGCAGAACGCCATATGTGATTGGCATGTCCCATCCTACCACACTGGAGCCTGCGCGGAGCTCAAGTGTGTACAGGTCATTCAGGTATCTAAAAATTCAAAAACAGACAGAAGTCAGAATCATGTTGATGGTGACCCGACACATATTGTGCAGCAAAGGGCCATGCTGGTAATCCATCCGTACCTGGGAATGTTGTTTTTGGGGTCTTCGCTGTCATTGGCTAGTCCACCAAACAGGTAGCATTTGTTGCCAACTAGCGAGAAACTGTGGCCAAGACGAGGACAAGGAGGGGGACCGTTCTTTGGGTTTTTTGCTTTCAACTTTTTCCATTCCCATCTGCTGGCCTGCAACAACAAAAACATGGTCAAAATAACATTATCTTTACTAATTATAGTTACTTCAGAACACTGGTTGATTACCCTGATAAGAACATATTTAATGTCCTCATCAGAAATAGAACCCATTTACCACTTAAACACCCTTCATTGTGCAGACTGACGCTTTTGCAACAACTACAGTGAAGACGTTCAAGAAGTTTGACACTGTGTACTTGTCAGAAGAATAATTTGGACTTATTATCACATTGAGACATTTTCTGGTACTTGTTGAACCCTCTAAACTCTGAATAACGTAAGAAAAAAAAAATACAATGCACATCCAAATGAATATATTTCTCACCAGTTGAACAGATATTTAAGTTAGATGCTGGATTGAAACTGGACAGGATGAATTGACTTGCCCCCCCCAACAACTACGCAACACACACATACCAGTCTTCATTTGATGAATCAAGATTCCTGTTTTGATGTTCAATGGCTTACTATCACTGTGTATAGCTGGACTGCATGGAGTACATTTACATGCACAGCAGTGAAACTTACAAGTTACAATTATGAGTTTGATGTATTTGTCTTTGCCTGTTCCTCTACTGATATTAAAAGCTACACCATAACATTGAAAATATACCATCCACACTGATTTCAAACTCTTTTTCTGATGACTGACGAGCCATGAAGATGTACTGTGATAAGTCCAACTTAAACTCCTAAAATATGAACACGACTGCTAGAACGTTTGTTTGTCATGCAACAATATTCATATCCACTTTATGCTAGTATGAGGTTCAACACCAAATGTTTCAAACAAAACTATAATATCACAGTGTTGGTTGATTCAGATATGGAATTATAGACACGTTACCTGCAGTTCGTAGAGGTCGTTGCTGTACTTTCCATACTCCACCATTCCACCAAAAACCAGCAATCTAGTGCCATCACAGACAAAACCATATGCAGCACAACCAGGGGGAATATCGCCACGAACCGCTGGGATAAACCACTGGTTTGTAGCTAGAAAAATAAACAAATGATGAAATGAGTTAGATGCTGAGGCTTACTTGTATGATGATATTAAAATGATGGGGGAAGTTAATGTTATGACGTAAACATGGCTGAGAGCCTCTGAAACAAGCTAGGAACAACCCTCGTGTGCGCATTATACATGAACCCCAACCAGCATTTAAGGATTGGGATATATAAAATCAAATTTGATGAATTTATCAGTCCTTATTGGTTTATGTGCAGGAAACCGGGGCAGAGGATGTTCTTAAACCAACCAGCATCATCCATTTTATTTTAGCCCGCCTTTTTTAACGGGTATTGACAGGCTTTATCCAGCAGAGGGGGCCAAATCGAATCAGACACGGAGTTGCTTGGCCTGCTAAGGCCTGTAAGCTACACAGTTTTACACATGAAGAATCACTCTTTAGATATGAAATATATCTGTTTAGGGCAAAGACTCAATGGGGGGGAAAAAGTTGTATGTTATTTCGCAGCTACTCATTTGATCACAAGTTCACTGCAAGGATTAATAGGTGAAGCAAAGTTTAGCTTACCGGTGTTGTATACATGTAGTTCATCCACAATCCCCTCGTTTCCACCGCCAAAGACAACCATAAGCTCCTTTATAGCAACAGCTCTGTGCCCATGCCTGGGCCGGGGAACGGGACCGGACCATCCGAGGACCCGTTTCCACCGCGGCTGCAGAACCGACGCCGTGGTCCCAGACACCGCGGAGCCAGGGGCAGACATGATTCTGTCAAAAAGGAAACAATCACGCAACGTTATACTTAACTGCCAATGTAATCGCAGTAATCACTCGTCAACGACGCCGGAAAACTCATCAGCAGACACCGACCGAGCCGCGTAACGTTAGCCAACTTCTAAAAACATTGAGCGGCCATAGCAACTCGATAGCTAGCGGCGATAGCAGTTAACGTTAGCTATCGGTTAATGAACTCAATTCGATCGAAGAAACCAGCAACTGAAGAGTAAAAACTTCCGAGCTGGTCTATAAAGCCTAATATATGTTAGACGTTGCAGTTGTACGAATACATACATCCAATCTTTCATACAACTGTGGCTTAGTTGTTTGTAACCATTGAATTCAATCCATGGAAGCAGCCATCTTGTAACCAAACAAACCCCCGCTAACGCTACTGCCGGTCTGAAAAATGGCGGAAGCGAACGAACAAGAAAAATAGATGAAAGCTAGCTAGCTACAACAGCAAGGAAACCCCCTGAATACAAAAACAAATGCAATGGAATTGTAGTAGGCCGACACGGCAGAACCGTACGCGGTTGCGGCACAAACTTAATCCCGTGTATAAACTGTGAACAAGAGTCGGCTATTTTCATGCCTCTCTGGGAGTCGCCATATTGTAGCTAACAAGCCTAGCATTCTCCACAATGGCTTCCACGCAATTATTAACATTACGGAAATGTCAAAAGAGTATTAAGACAGGCGAGGCGGGTTAGTAGGAAACCAACCTCAATGGTCACCGAATATCCTTTGGAAATATTCCAAACGGTTAAGCCCAGTTGAACTAAGTGTTAATCCACTGGATTCTAACGTTAGCTATACTCCGTTAGCACTAGCGGCTAGTCGTTCCCCCTAATTTGCACAAGCTAACAGCGTTAGCCTCAAGGCTGGCATCTGTCAAAGCGTCGCGAGATATTACAATTAAATGCAAAGTAACTACGTTGTATTCTGAAATGCATATTTTACCTGATATAAATTTAGCTGCAACCGCACTCTTAAACCAAAGCTAGGCGGAGGGAAACTGCACATACAGAGTGTTATTATGTTTCATGCCGTCTCTGGAAGCAGCCATCTTTTCAACAATCGGCCTACTTCGGCTCCCACAAGAAAAATGGCCGGGCGGTATGCCACAACAAAACATAACAAACCGAAAAAGGCGCAAATATTTCTGAATTTCACTTACTTATTTCGACGCAGAAAATTCAAAAACACGGGTTTATGGTCTTATCTTCGGGCAATTATCCAAATTCATTCGATTTTTGAAGAAGTATTTCCTCTCATGCCTGCCTGGAAGCTGCCATCTTCTTGACAACCAGAGGCGGAGGAAAATGGAAGCGAGCTGGCGTCACCCAAAGTAAACATGGCGGCAGAGACCCGCTCGCTCACCGTTTCCGACAGAAACGCTCATCGCTTTTGCCACTCGCCGTTTCGAATACGAGAGGGATGATCTACTTCGTGAGGTGTTTCGATCACAATTTAAATCGATGTAAAGCAAATGCACGAGGAGTTTCAGAAAATTACAACAAGTTGTGTTTTGGCACTAAGCTTATTGTCCCTTAGTAAAGATGGCGACATCCGTGCGGAACCCACTTGTTTTTAACGCGACGCTGATTTTATTTCCCCCCGAACCCACTTAGATATGCCTATAAATGCACAATGATAATGTAAAATCACTTATTTGCTGCTTGGCGCTCACACGAAGGCTGGTATATAGTTTCCGCGCCCACGCCCATCTTCATAGCGCCCCCCTGTGGAACAAGTCCTGCATTACCCTCTGCATCAATTAACAACTCGCCTCTCTTCATACTGAACTCTTGTATTGCGCCACATATCCTCCTGAAAATTCTAAAACAATGCGGAGATTTCTGACATTTGTCAGTAAACTGAAATGTCTATTTTACAAGATATGCCCCGATTATTTGAATCTAGGGTTGATGTAATACATTAACTACATTATTATTTATTGCTTAAATGTTTAAAGACATGTTATGCATATTAAATAAGGAATGAGTATAGGGTACATCCTGTATCATTCACATGTGCAATGTTCCTTTCTTGCAACAAAGATAGCAGAATTTTATACGCACCGATAAAAACAGGGCCAGGAGGTTTTGGTTCTCATCAGTTAAATGTTAAATTAATGATTGAGTGTCGACCATTGTACTGGAATAAAAACATTTCTGAAAAAAGTAAGGAACTATGGTTAGAACTTAAAAACCTTACTTAAAGTAAGATTTCTTACTCATTAAGTCTGATGCAAATTCTGCTGATACTCTGATCTGTGGACTCTATGGGCCAGTAAGAAAGATTATTGGGTAATGTTCTAACAGGTGCAGCAACGCTCATGGGAGAGACAGGGAGGGGTACGTAGATCAAGCACAGGGTGTAGACACCCACGCGGCCTGAAGTATGATAACAACCTTCAGCGGTGTGCCTGGCGTTTGAGTTGGTTTGCTTTAGTTTTAGTGTGTGGACCAGTGCAACACCAAGCAAAGAAGTACCTTTTTGTTAATGTAAAGTGAGTCGTGTATGATATTTTCTAAAGCTTTGAGGTCAGCACTAATGCAGCGGCTGAGATCAGAGCTTCTTGAATGACCTGCCTTGCTAATGAGTGACAACAACATGAGGTAATCTGTTAAATCTTATACATACTTGTTAAAACCTGATACTAATATAAGATGAGTGTTAATCCACCCCCATGTGTTGCACGAGACAGAAACAAGTAGCATTAAATAGAAGAAAAGGGGAATTTACGGATGCAATGTGAAAATAACACACGTTACGAATGAATAAACCTGAGCAGTAAAGAATAAGGTTAAGCAAGTCAAAAAGTACACCAATAATACACAATGCACTTAAGTAGTGATACTAAGTGATCTCTTTATTATTAAAGTGCTATACTAATTTAACAATTTAACAGATCACTTGTCCAGGAAGTTGACAAAACCCTTGTGACCTGCAGTTTGGAGTGTACTCTTTATAATCCAAATCTCCTTTCTTTCCTTTGGACACAGGAAATCCCTTTCCCGGCCTGGAAAGGGATTTATTGGGAATCATAGAGACTCATTATACACACATGTAGTTTGCAATTTTTCAACAACAAAAAAAATAGACCTAAATTGAATCTGTCTACATAATAACATACTTTAGATATCTGAACTTCCGTATAACTAAAATAGTGGTTTTTAGTTGTCAGTGGAGTTCAGACAAACACCTTGATTTACATTCTGAGCTGGCGGTAATGGTTTATACACGGTAAGAGTCTTAGCAAACGGCTGGAGAACCGCTCGTTAAAAGACTAAAGAGATCATCTTGTAAAATCCTCACAAGTGACGTGGATCAAGGATAATGGCAGCTGGGGGTGGAGGATTTTGAGGAGGTGTATGTGGCTTCTCACCCGTGTAAGCATCCCAACCGATCAGTCTGACAGCCTTTCTGACAGGATAATATTACCATGTGTGTTGAACATAATATCCGTCAAATAGACAAATGTTGTCAGGCGTTTGTTACAAGTAAAATCAGAAGTCTAAATATTCATTATTAGCTTTACAATGTGACAGATGTTAGAAAAAATCTTACTCAACACTGGTGTAAAATCATTACAGGACATGAATTAAATAATACTTGCAAGCAGGATAAATAATTCACAGATGTACAAAGTCATGGATCAAGGCGGTTTCCTTCTTCGGAGCGGGAGTACAGAATTGGAAGATAAACACAGACAAACAGACAAACAGGCGGGTGGGGAGGGAAAACGCTGGTGCCGGTAAACGACCTTGGATGTATACGGTCATTTAGGCACCATGAGATTAACTGGACATTGACACACAAACATCTTGATTATCATTTGACCCAGAACACAGCGGGCCTCTGTGCGAGAGGCCACTCGTCTCCAAGATTGAAACGTTATTTGAGTTTTCCCAACACAAGGTTCTTTTTATAGTCACTGTCCCTTAGGGTACAATAAGGAAATGCGGATTAAAATCCTGTTTTGCTTCACTAGAAGAACACAAAAAATATATTATGGAGAGTGGTGGATGAATCAATGAGTCTCACAGTCAGAGAAACAAGGTTATTTTGAACATAACAATTGCTATGTTTTTCATTCTACATGTCAATTGTCCTTATTGCTTGTGTTCTCAACCTATTTAAGATGATATCCGATGCAGAACCCTTTCAACCTGTTGAAAGTGCAAAACAATGATGCACAAATACTTTTAAAGGTCCTTTCAGGTCCAATATTACTTACTTTAGATATTGCTCAACAAACGTATCTACCCTTCATTCTGAAAGTCAGTCTCAGAGGACTTTAGTACATCTCGTTTGAACTTTCCTGTCTTTGGTCTTTATTACAGCTGTTAAAAAAGGTAAATTAGGCAAAATTCCGTGGATTTCTGATTTAGTAATTTGACGTTTAGGTAGAGCTGTAGGAATCGATACGTGCTGTTCACTGTGCAACGTGTCGTTCAGCACATAACGGAAGTTTGTGTCAGATAAAGAATGCAGAAGCCGTCACAGCCTTTTACAGAGGACATGCAGACCTCAGGTCACGTACAGGAGGCTCCATTTCCGTAATGATAGGCAGATGTTAACACAGCTTCCATCCGTTTACCTTCAACGAAAGCCTGCTCTCGATTCTGAGGGTGAAAAATGGAAATGCTTTTCTGAGATCCATGATCAACAAAGGATAATCCTTTCTTGATACGATAATGGAGGTAGAGATCATCCATCCTAATAGTAGCAGAAAGCAGCTTACCCAAGGGCAGCCTGAATGTGATTAGCACATCTAATTGCACTGATGACCAGATTAACTGATTCAAAAACAATGGTCCTCCTTCCAGATTAGATCCAATTGAACCAGCTTGGGCCCCGATAGACTGAACTCAACTAAAATGTTCTCTTATGGGTGAATACATGTTTATGTCAGTGCATTTAGCCCTCAATGTGTGTCTCATAGTGTCCTCTGCCCCATTGCCTCAGTGTCATGAGTGTAAATATCCCAAATATTGGACCGGCTCCTAGCAGAGTTTTACTCCGTTGTGTAACGTGTCTGTGGATCCTGCACCGCTTCCTGTCGCTAATCTCTTTGACTATTTTTGGAGGTTACAATTTACTTAAGCGATTCATTACTCAATCATTCAATCAATTAAATGTTTCATAAGACAGCCTTATAAATGGGCTCCTGTCATCTGTAGCGGACTGCCATAGCCATAGAGCAGGAGACGCTCAGCTGACAATCACATAAAAGCTAATTTTGATTTTCCGTTTTCACATTCGGGGGGCAAAATGAAGCACGGCCGCGTCCCAGAGATTCCGGAGGATTTCTATATCCCCATCTCCTTGGACACGGACAACATCACGTCTCTCAGCCCGTTCTTGGTCCCCCAGGACCATCTAGCAAGCAAAGCCACCTTCTACTCATTGGCCTTTTACATGTTTTTTATATTAATTGTGGGCACTTTCATCAATGCTCTTACGGTTGCTTGCACCGTGCAAAACAAGAAGCTGCGGTCCCACCTCAACTACATCCTGGTGAACTTGGCTGTGTCAAACCTTCTCGTGTCCGGTGTGGGCGCTTTTACTGCCTTCCTCAGCTTTGCCGCCAGATATTTTGTCCTCGGAACATTAGCATGCAAGGTAGAAGGCTTTCTCGCAACGCTCGGCGGTAAGACCCTGAGACACATTCGAGGAAATTATGACACATGCGTTTTTGATTGAGGTTTTCTAAATTCTACTCTATTCTGCTCCAGGTATGGTAAGCCTGTGGTCTCTTGCCGTGATAGCTTTTGAAAGATGGCTGGTCATCTGCAAGCCGCTTGGTAACTTCATTTTCAAGCCAGACCACGCTCTGGTCTGCTGCGCATTCACCTGGGTGTTTGCACTGGCTGCCTCGGCTCCCCCACTCGTCGGATGGAGCAGGTCAGTGTCACACACACACTCACTTACATCTGCACTGGTGATAAGGATGCAAAGGTGTGCCCACCCATTGCTCTTGTGTTTACCTCTCCAGGTACATCCCAGAAGGCCTGCAGTGCTCCTGTGGTCCAGACTGGTACACAACCAACAACAAATACAACAATGAATCCTACGTGCTGTTTCTCTTCGGCTTCTGCTTCGCTGTTCCCTTCTGCACAATTTGCTTCTGCTACTCCCAGCTTCTTTTTACAATGAAAATGGTGAGGCAAAGTTAAGGGAGAAAATGAAAACAGAATGAAAGGATGCTGTAAGGCCAACAGTTCTGTCATACCGCAGCTTAACTGTTTGCCGCATGGGCCACTAAATATGAAGCATGCAGTCATGAGACTTGTCCCCCCACTTTCTTCCTCAACAGGCGGCAAAGGCCCAAGCAGAATCCGCCTCGACCCAGAAGGCGGAGCGGGAGGTGACCAGGATGGTGGTTCTCATGGTGATGGGCTTCCTGGTGTGCTGGATGCCGTACGCCTCATTCGCTCTTTGGGTGGTCAACAACCGCGGGCAGACTTTTGACCTGAGGTTTGCTTCTATTCCGTCCGTCTTTTCCAAGTCCTCCGCAGTTTACAACCCGGTCATCTATGTCCTCCTCAACAAACAGGTCAGTTGGATGCAGCGACATGTTGAAACCCACTATAGGTGTGTTAAAAAAAAAAAGCTTATTCTAAAATGTACTTGCCTGTCAGTTCCGATCATGCATGATGAAGATGCTGGGGATGGGCGGAGGTGATGATGAAGAGTCGTCGACATCGTCAGTGACTGAAGTTTCCAAAGTTGGACCTGCTTAGACTGAACATCAAGACCGTCGACTTCTCTCCCACTAATGATTGTGGATTGTAAATAACAGTAAATGTAAGTGTGTTTTGCCATAAGAAAAGCAAAAGTATATGCGGTTCAAATAATGAATGAATCCTAAATAATCTGCAAAGTGAAAAATAAAAAAAATATGAACATCCGATGCATATGGTGTCTCTGTTTTGTTGATATTAGCAAACACACAGTCACTGGTTTGCAGTTTCCTTTTATGGGTGCGTTGCCACGTGTGAGCCGTTACTACAAAAGCTGATTTGTGAAAGTAACTTATGATTAACTGTGGAATTTAGATATGCAAAGTGGGGAAGGGAACACTCTGGTTTCTTTGTAAAGATATCGCTGCAGAGGCAACTGATCATTTGTGTTCTTATTCCTGTTTTATACGATTGTGTTGCTTTCAATGTCCCTATGTAGTTAATAAAAAAGCATTTCCATTTGTTCATTTCTAATTCATCCTCCGGTGTTAAAATCATCATAATATGATGCCCTTGTCTGCTTTGGGTTGTTGGACCGACCGAGTTACCCTACGGAGATCCGCTTCTACAATTACACTGTGTTCACAACATCTCGTGCTCTGTTTAAGCTTCGGGAAGGAGTAGAAATGCCAGAAAGGTAACACAAAGCTTGAGTTAAACCAGTAGAGTAGTTTACAAAAGGCTACTGTTAATCTAATTTGGAAACCAGATTACCCACGAAAGAACTGCTGCGATCTTCCTTAAGAAAGTGGGATTATGCTGCTGGGATCAGTTTGGATCTCAGGAGCAAGTGTGCAGGCGAACATCCACAAGTGCACCGTGTGAATATCTACATGCTCGTGTGTTCCTTGGTTGAGATTCTCGCAGATCATTTTGACTCAATCGACCATATTTTACTAGCAGTGTGTGTGGAACATTCAAGATTCTTAATTTAGGTCATTGTCTTTCTAACTATGAACAGCGGCCTCTTAACAAAGATTGACTGTGTTTCTCAAACTGCCTGTTAGATAAGCACCAACACGTGATCTCCAACCGTAAAGCTGGCACATGCATGTTTTGTGTATTTGCCTTGTTGTAAAATCAAGATTGCGCTTGTTTTTATAATAAGGACTCATTGAATCTTATTTCTTTTAGTCTTTGTTGAACCTTTTGAGTTGCATGTTTTGTTTTTTAACCATTCAGTTAAAATGGCTAACACCAGTTAACCCAAATGAATCCGTCAATCATAGTCATTTAATCTTTTAATTGGGACAAAGGACATTCCGGGAACCTTAATACCAGTCAGTCCTCCACAAAAGATTAACAAGACGTCAGGGACACAGACATTGCAGTTATTATGTTTATTCTTTATTCTTATTCTATGGTACATGTGACCAGCAAAGAGAACGCGTCAGCTATAACGATTGTGATTTTTTTTTTTGTGATTTTATAGTTTAAACGTCAAAATGAGAGCGAATGGTGTCAAGCAGCTGCCGGAGGACTTGTTGATGCCGATCCGCCTGGAGAGCGACAGCATCACGTCATTCAGTCAGTTCCTGGTCCCTCGTGACCACTTGGGATTCTACGAAGTTGGGTCTGCCTTGACTTAACATCAGGGCTTTCCACTTATGATTGTGAAATATATATATATATAACAGCAAATTGGTTGGTAATATTCGTTGGTGTCTGTATATTGATGATTTGATGATCCACTGGTTTGGAATGTTTCCTAACATTGGAGTTGTATTGTAAAGCACATAATCACATATAGGACATGTATATATCTATATATCTATGAGTGTGTCCCTCTGATGCACCGTACTAAATAATAATTAACACCTGGCAGCGAAGTTGTTCCTGTAATTGATTTCAAACTCTTACAAACAGATTGATTCTGACCAAAATATTTCAGTCTAGTTTCGTGGATCTCTGCTAACACATTTTGAATATATCATTAAATGAACAGATTCTTTGAAATACCAGTATTGACCATCACTCACAATGGCCTTACAAAGGTGGCGCATGTTATTGTGAGAGTGCGTCTGGTGTGTGGCCAATGTCAGTGGGCCGTGAACCTAAGCCTTAAAGCCCCTCCGCAAAGCCAATTAAGTCAAGCCTAAGTAATCGCCAAAGGTCCTATAAATGCACCTTTGGCCACCCGTCGGCAAGACACACGGCGCTGAGAAGAGCAGAAACATCCAGTGTGTCAGTTTTCTTTACATGTATTTTCTCTTAATTTGACACACATCTAGAGTAGGATGCAAGATTTGCAGCAACTGGTGGTGGTGAGTAGTTTCTTGTATTCTTTTCAATTAAAAACAGCTGTTGTTAAATATAATACTATCGTAGAGGGTGTGATTTACATATCATCACATTACCTTAAAGGCAAAGATAATCTGTGTTGTGATGTATTCACTATATTCTGCCTACGGTTATTGTTCATAAAGTCATTTCATTCTCAGAATGGCTTCTAACAACCTGCTAAGACCTTTTCTGTAATCTGTAGTGGAGCAGATCCTTTTGTTGTCCACTGTCCCAACTTAAAATAATCATGCATTAGATATAATACATCGTATGTGAATAGTTCATCATCCAGCCAGTTGCCCCCCTTTAATTATTTTGAGCTGCTATTAGATACGCGCAATAGAATATGTTCCTGCCCAGTGATAGCTGCCTTTTATAGTTGTCTGTCTTGTTCCAGGTTTGGTAATCCTGTGGCCACGGGCTGCGGTGGCTTTTGAAAGATGGCTTGTTGTCCTCAAGCCACTTGGGAACTTTGGCTTCCAGCCGCCCCCTGCGGCAGCCTGCTGCACAGCGAGGGAGGTCTTTGCAGAAATGGCTGCAGTTCCTCCTCTCGCTGGATGGAGTAGGTGAGTACACATGGGCCAACCACACAAGTAGTGTTATTTGTTTTTTAATAATCAATTTAATGAATGAGGTAATTCCTTCTGCAACTTACTCACTTACTTACTTATTACTTCATAAAGGAACTCTCGAAGGGATCGTCCAGGGATCTCCAGCCCCCAGACATACAGCCGCTATCCAGTCTCTACAGCAGCGATTCATTGTCTGTCCCTCCAGGTGCGTCCCAGAAGACCAGCAGGGCTGCTGTGGACCCGACTGCTACAAAACCAACAACAAATACAACAATGGGCCCTACTTCATGTTCCTCTTCTGCTTTTCCGTCCCTTTCTGCACCATCGTTTTCTGCTGCTCACACCGGCAACACCCCCAACAGGCAGCGAAGGCCCAAGCAGAGTCCGCCTCCACCCAGAAGGCAGAGCGGGAGGTGGCTGGCATGGTGGTGGTCATGGTGCTGGGCTTCCTGGTGTGCTGGAGGCCTTTTGCCTCATTTGCCCTTTGGGTGATCAACAATCACTGGAATCCCTTCGACTGGCAACCCCCCCCCCTCAATAAGCAGGTTGGTTCATCGTTATCTCTCAGGCCAAATGTCAGACCAGTGATGCCCTCTAATGGCGGCAAAATATACAAAAAGCTCCTTCTTCAGACAGAAAACCTGATGCGCTTTTGACAACTGCAGACTCCTTTCTTTATTTCATTTGGATTATTTGGACAGAATTCCTGTCATAAAAGGGTCACCAGATATATTGTTGCACCGTTGATCTGTAAATAGACTGAAATGTTCCCAATTGTATTAAGTGGTGGAAAACCTGATTTCCCTCATCAACAAATGTTGTTTTTACCCCTTTCAGTTCTGCCTATGTGTGATGCAGTGCATGAGTGAAGGTGGTGATGAGGAGTCATTGACAATCAGTACTGTTACAGTTACTGAAGTTTTGAATGTCTGATCTTCTGCGGTGGTTCACTTTGATGATGTGTTGATACTAACAAATATCATTCCAAATAGAATTTGGAGCAGAAAATGTTTTTAAAAAAAGATAAATGCCAATTATTGTCTTGTGCTAATATATGTCTGTGCATTACAAGTAATGTATGATATCTCTGTCTGATATTCTGTCCTAAAATCATGTTTTTGATTTAAGACACTAAAATGTCTAACTTTGGTCGTACAAAACCCATATTAGTTATTAGTCTATTAACGTGTGCAAGCAAATGCTTGTAGTATTTAATGAATCTTTGTAAAGAGTTTTACTGTATTTGTTTTATATGAATTCTCTTGTGACTTTGTGTGCATGTTAATAACCTCCAGACCCACAACTTTGCAGCTGCACGATGAGAGACGATCATTGACAATGTTAGGGAAAAACTGTGGAACTACCTCTTCAGATACTTTCTGACAATAATGGATGTTCTTGGCTACATTATGTGATACTTATCCTAGTAAATAAAAGGTATATGCGCCTACATTGATGTGTGGTATTGTCAAGTCCAAAAATATTTTTCACACCACTTTGAAAACGAAACCAAGCAAAACCCACAAAACATACAAAGTTGGTCATGTCGACTCTCCAATCTTAATCCCACATCCGTCCACCCACAGGTTTTTCACGCAGTTAATTTATACATATACAGAATACAACGTATCAGACATCCGAGTGGGTTCAAAGACCGAGACACAGCAACGTTCAGCAGATGGCGCCAAAAAGCCTCGCTGTGTATTTTATACTGAAATTGTGAGTAAATCAGTACTGAAAAGACTTTCACAAGAAGGCTTTTCTGTTTTGATAGTACAGCAACTGATAATGGTATAATATACTACAATGACATATATTAGTACAACACAATGCCATATTGTACGTTATACTAAACCATTCATATAATTTATATTGTGCTATGATTCCGTGATGGCTCTGGGACTCCCTTCCTAAGAGAACGTACCTCGTCCCGTCTGTCCCTGAACGAAGTACGCGGGTCAAGGAAAAAAAACTGCAGAGAGTTCAGAAGATACTTTGGCAGACGAACACGCACACATCTTGCCATCTATTGTTACACATAATAGAAGTGCACAGAAACAAGATATATTGTTGTGCTGTGTGACCATTATCTTAAGCGGATTAAGTGAATAATGGGTTAATAATAACCCATTAATCTCGGTAGTTACACGTTTTTTCACATTTCACAAAGTATTTGCCTCAGTAGTGTAACCAATCTTTGTTCATTATTATATAACATCTACCAAACACAATACATCTCAACACGTCAGTCGAAGCCGTTTCAGATCTGAAAGCCATGACTGGCTGGTTACGCGTTGCCTGCCTGTTGTGCTGCGGGAGAACAGATGAAAATCAATCGGCCAAATCAACAGACACCTTTGCCGCCGGCTTGCGGGCCGCCACGGGTCAACTGGGATGCAGGGAAAAGCAAAGGGGAAAACAGGATTATTATTCACGTCACAACGTCCCTCAACAAAGCTGTGAACATGCGACATTACCTGATGTGAAGTGAACGTGAAGAGTAGCAACGCTCGGTTCACTTTACACCAGAGTAATTAGTGCAGGAGACCAGCTGCTGTTCAGGTGGAGCACAAACGTTCCCACCTGCTCCCGGTGGCACATGGAGGTTCTCGGCGGTAGTCGGGAGCAAATCTGAGTTCTGCTAGTAGTGAACTTTTACCAATCCCGAATAGTTCAGAACTAGCGGAATTCCAGACCTACCCTCGAAACATCGTGGAGCAAAATACTTTCCCATGAGACCTATTTCAGAAATAATAATGAAAACACAAAATCAGACATGAATAGACACATAATACATAAATGGAAATAGGATAAAAGTTTACAGATGTCTTTAGTTTCAGGGTCCATCTTCTCCTCCGTGTGCAGTCCTTGTCCCGAATGGAGCCCGTACCAAACCCGCGGGGGCCAACCAGCCACCTGAGCAAAAAGTGGACTCCAGAGACACACATTAGCAACGGATTAAAATAAACTAGCCGCTTTTGTCGACCTGTGATTCGAGCTGAACTGTCGCTCCGGAAAGATTAACTCGTTACGGAGTGAGCACGCCAGAAGTAATTACTCTGTGGTAATCTGTTTTATGGAAGAACCTGACTTGTCCGTATAATCTGCTTTGGGATGACAAATCTTCACCTGCCTCAACCCACCTCTGATTAGCGGGTCAACACTAAGAGGCGAGAAACCGGTTAGACAGCTGCTACCCTGGAATTCCTGCTTTGCTTGGATTCATTGAGGTATTATCGATGGTTATTGTTGCTTGGTGCAAAAATGCTCTTGATCATGCAATGGAGGGCCCATGCTCGTCCACAGCTGGCTGACTTGTGTTGGTTGGGCTGTGGGCCGTCACGCACAGACCGGCATGAATGGCACTACGGTGCTCGCAGGGAGAAAGCTTTTATTACACTTTTTGCTCAACAGTAAACTTTCTTTCCATTGGGTCTTGGCTTCGAAAATAAGCTCTGTTTATTACCCGTACAGGTTTAGCAAGATAATCTCGAATAACAACAACTTCATTGTTTTGGGGTAACCAGCAGACGTGCGGAGCTAACATCGGGCTATAAACAAATCAAAGGACAGTGAACGTCACGTGTCGCAGCTAAAGGAAGACTTGTATCCGGCCTGAAGACGTCGAAGGGTTTTATTGTCTCATTTTGCCATTTATTAGCGACCGACTTTTCTATGACACATAAAAGCTGCAAAAGCAACGAGAGCGGTATTGGCTGATGTACTTTAGATTGCAAAAAACTCCATGAAATCTCTTAAGCTTGTGTTAATCACCCCGACTTCGAGAAGCGGGAATCGGAAGTGCTAAAATGCAAACTCCCTCACCTGTTTTAGGACTCGCTCCTTCTGCACACTATTGGGATTGTAGTGAAAGCGACGTCTGAAGAGTGGAATCAGAGAAAGAGCTTCTAAGTATTTTTCCATTTGGGTCTAATGCGCTTCAGATGAGGGTGAGAGGTTAAAGAGTTTACTGATTTCAACTCTCATTTATTCCATCTCGTCAGACATCGATAATCACAGTCAAATTGAATTCACTTGGAGTTGATCTACAAATGTTATCATACGTAGACAAACTCAGTGCCATCACAGCCTCATTTACTCAAACACAGCACAGATTTACTTAAACACTAGCCGCCCTGATCCGCTAAATGCACCATATCCTGTTGGGAACACGCCGGACTGGAGAGCTTTGGACGGACACAGCTGTCCACCGGCGTCATTTTGCCAAAAGAGATTCACAACAAAATACAAGAACCCGGAGGTCCTCCCTGGTACGATGTCCACAACGAAATATGACTTCAGCACAACGCTGAATATTTCAGTATTTATTTTGTTTGTTTTTATTCAAGTCAATAATCCTAACCCTCTACCAACCTACACAAAAACAAAAGATCCCATTCCATCATTTTAAGTGTTTCTCTGATAGCCGTCCATCGGAACTCGTGATGAGATACCTCGCCCCTTCGACTTTGAAACAAGGATTATGACGTGATTCACGGGGTCAATGCGGAGTCTAAAAAGCCAATGTGCTGATGTGAACTCTGAAATCTTTAAGGATTAAAGGTGTCTTACTTCCCTCAAGTCCGACTCAACTGTGACTGACTATTATAGTCCCACTACTTGTCCAATTAAGCGGCTTTAAGACTTGGCTGTCCTCTCATGCCCACCAGGGTTCACATACTTACCACCAAAACATCACACGCAACATGCCGCAAAACCTTCAAATCAAGTTAACATGCACAGTTCTGCACTATTTGTCTTAACTTCACAACGGATGCAATCCACAATATTTGGTGTAGCATGAAATTATTCCTCTTCATCCGGAAGAATGAGGAAATAACCGTTTGCTTTGAAGCTTAAATGACTATACGATACACTTAGACTCTGTGTTGCTTTACTTATCATTTCTAAATTGCTATAGTTGTATATAAAAAGACAATGTTGCCTACTGCAGGTGTAAAAGAAATCAAACAATGGCTCAACATTCAATTTTGTGTCTTAGTCAAAGACCTGGCAACTTATTGCTATTTTAACCGAGTGGATGCTAATCCGCTTTCAAGATTATTTGGGAGTTTTGTGTCTTAAGGTCATAAGCTAATAGTTTTAATTACAGTTGAAATAAGTTTGACCGTGGTGGCTTTGTCGCAGTATCACTGCCAATCAGGACGCAACAGATAACATAACATCCTTATCCAATCAGAGGTCCACGTCTGCTTCAGCGTATAAAAGCTAATGTCAGAAGTTGAGCACCAGGCACCCGAGGAGGTTGCAAGTGACGAGAAAGGTCAACTGCTGAGGTCCTCCCTTTACGATCAGAATGGCAGAAGAGTGGGGAAAGCAGGCGTTTGCTGCCAGGCGGTACAATGAAGATACAACAAGAGGATCTATGTTCGTCTATACAAACAGCAATAATACCAAAGGTACAGTACATTTTAATTCTTTAATACTTTAGTGGGTTAACCAGAGTGAAATGTATACAGTTTTTGCTACTAGAACTTTTTCAGATGTAGATTTAAATGTATTATATTTGGTCATGATTTTGCACACCCATATAGACATTATGGAGTTACAAACTTATTTGGAGTTACAAAGTATTTAAAGGATAATTTGAGGCTAATTCATTTAATCTTTTACTTTTTATCCATCATTTTATACCAGCAAGAACTAATTATTTATTTAATTAATTATTACTATTTATTACAAAAAACAAAACTGTGGTCTAATTGTTATTGCAAGACGGATAATAGAGTTTCATACAGTTACTTACGGCATATTTAACATTTAGTTTCATAATTAAGGGCAGTCTTAGTCTTTCTGAGACCTTACAAGATGAGTTTAAAAAATAAGATGTGGAACCAAATAGGCTAAGACGCTGCTTTTCGCTCTTCCAGATCCCTTTGAGGGTCCCAACTACCACATTGCTCCTCGGTGGGTTTACAACCTTTCAACACTGTGGATGTTCATCGTGGTCGCTCTATCGGTCTTCACCAACGGTCTCGTCTTGGTGGCCACAGCAAAGTTCAAGAAACTCCAACACCCTCTGAACTGGATCTTGGTCAATCTTGCAATTGCTGATCTTGGAGAGACCGTTTTTGCCAGTACCATCAGTGTGTGCAACCAGTTTTTTGGTTACTTCATTCTGGGCCACCCGATGTGCGTCTTCGAGGGCTACGTCGTCTCAGTCTGTGGTAAGTGGTCACTGGGTTCGCCAGAGTTTAGACAGAGAGTTTTTTTCTTTGTTGCATTTGTCATCAGGCTGAGAATGAACCTTTACTGAGTCTCCTTATTCTTTACGCAGGTATCACCGCTCTCTGGTCCCTGACTATCATCTCCTGGGAGAGATGGATAGTTGTGTGCAAACCTTTCGGAAACGTCAAGTTTGATGCCAAATGGGCAACGGCTGGAATAGTGTTCTCCTGGATATGGTCTGCCGTCTGGTGTGCTCCCCCAATCTTTGGATGGAGCAGGTAGCCTGGCATTTTGTAGTCTCGAATAAAACCCACTGAATTTTGACCAGAACAGTAAACTAAACATTTTCTTGCATCAGGTACTGGCCTCATGGACTAAAGACTTCCTGCGGACCAGATGTATTCAGTGGAAGTGAAGACCCTGGAGTCCAGTCCTACATGATTGTTCTCATGATCACATGCTGTCTCATTCCTCTGGCCATCATCATATTGTGCTACCTTGCAGTCTGGTTGGCTATCCGTGCTGTAAGTTGTTTTAAATGCAGTATTGCACACTATGTAAAGTAGATCCCTCCCTGGGAGACTCTCACACTGTGTTAATCTGTGGATCGCAGGTGGCCATGCAGCAGAAGGAATCAGAGTCAACTCAAAAAGCTGAAAGAGACGTATCCAGAATGGTCGTTGTCATGATTGTGGCATATATTGTCTGCTGGGGACCGTACACAACTTTTGCCTGCTTTGCTGCGGCTAACCCTGGATATGCCTTCCATCCTCTGGCTGCTGCCATGCCTGCATACTTTGCCAAGAGCGCCACCATCTACAACCCAGTTATCTATGTCTTTATGAACCGGCAGGTGGGAACAACAGTTACATTGACGCGTTGATCTGCTCTTGTATGTCCAAGTCAGACCTTTTTAACACGCCTTTTTGTTATTCTCTCTCCATCAGTTCCGTTCATGTATCATGCAGCTCTTTGGCAAAGAAGTGGACGATGGCTCTGAAGTATCTACATCAAAGACAGAGGTCTCCTCTGTGGCTCCTGCATAAAGCTGATATTCTCCTTTTGGGGGAAAATGAGAACCATTGTGATTTGTACAGTATATATATGTATTGTTTAATTTATCTTTTTTTTTTTTTTAGTAAATATAGCTTTCTGGCAAAAGACAAAAATCAAATAAAAAAAATACATAAAGCAAATGAAGCATTAAATGACCGGTCTTTTTTCAGATGAGCTTAACTATGAAGCAAAGTGAAAGTTTCCCGTTTGGTTTTAAAAAAAAATTACTTCCACTGCAGAGATCATGTGAGAGTCATATGTTACTATATGTGACTTTACAAACATTTTAAGGTCACAAAAACATAAAAAATAGAAGCAACTTGAGGGTTGACATAGTATTTTGGATATTTTTAAGATAACTAGTTTCATAAGCAAAACTAACAAATCATTTATTCTCAGTTTATATATCTTTACTTACCTGATTTCTGTTTGAAATTTGCTCTCAAAACAGTTTGCATAATAAAGGCACAGATCTACCTTCATACATTTCGCCTCTATATCTTTACATAGCAAGTTCAGAATGTTTATTACAGCTCATAAGAGAATCATTGCACAGCATATTTAAACAAATATTTCACCACTTTGTCATATCTAAAAAGTTTTATATACATTTAAGTTTGAGAGACTAATGAGAACATGAACGCAACATTAACGGGATGGCTTTCCAAAGTTAAATGTGGTATTTACCTTGGGATGTCCTATACACACATCAGTCTTTCATGTTTAATATATTAGTGACATGAACATGTGAATCCTCACCATTTAGTTGTGGAGTAAAGGTGTAGGTGGGGCCAGGGAACCAGTCAATTTGTAAGACAATCCACTTTTTGAGGCACTGTTTTTTCCTTCTTGCACAGAAGCTTATAGTTAATACATGAAAACCTAAAAGACAATCAACATCCCAACATAACCTTTACATTTGTATTACTGATTCAAATGAAATGCTCCAATGGTTTAACAAGAACGTCCATGAACCGAGTGTACACAAAGTGGACACAAATTTTATTGACATTAATTGACAACTGCAACAAAGGCTAATTATTAGACCAATGTGTTCCAGTTTTAAGGATTTAATTGCAACAGCCACTGTTCAATAGATAATCAATAATGTAATGTAATGTAATAAGAGTTTTGGAATGAGTGTACAGCTTCATCTTTTTCTTCGAGAACCTACATCTGAGGAGCATTAATTAAATGGATGTATGATCCTCTGATGAATTTACATTTCAATATGATTGATAACCACAAATAAATCCCCTTTGACTGCACAGAACAATATTAAGTTTAAAATACAATAGTATCATCAGCATACAAATTGAAGTGCAGTGTGTGGCTTTTTGTTTGTATCTAGTATATACCAGGGGTGGAATAAGTGTTCGGATCATTTACTTAAAAGTATTTCCCGCTAGCAATTAAATAAATAACTGAAATGGAGTGGAGCTTAAGTGTAAAGTAAGAGGAGAACTACATATACTTAGGTGTACACTTACTTACTTTACACCACAGCTATTACTCAACTCTTTTTTTCCACTTGCTCTTTTCCACAGGCAGGTCAAAGGGCAATTTCGGCATGTTCCTCTCAGGCCTTTGTCAGTTTTCTCCTTCTGTACGCCGTATTTAGTAATGAATTCCCAGCATTTCCCCCCTTAAACGCTATAACTTCTGCCCAGTTGGACGAACCACGTTCTTTGGTTTGACGCTATTATTTTGAAAATATCCGGATGTTGTTGTTAGCGTCACCGTGTGCGCGAGTTCCCCCTTTCGCCACACACGTGAACGAAGAGCAGAAGGAGACTTTTACTAAAGCCATGTCCAAAGATAGTACGTATTTGCTTTGTAAACGTATTCATTCACTAAATAACTACGCGTGTTTTTAATGGACTCTGTTGTTTCTTACAGAACGAAAACGAGCGAAACGTCTCGGCCTCCTCGGGAAATTTAAGGTAACCGTGTAATCGTTTTTGCTAATGTTTGCTGTAGCTAACTTTTAGTGCTGGAGCTAACGAGCTGCTGTGTAACCGAACGTTAGGTACCGTAGTTCAGTCAAATGTACGCCAGTCTCAGGACAGCCCAGCTCCGCCAACACACGCTAACTGAGACGATTACTCAGCCCGCAAGTGCCTGCGCGGAGAGATCGTCAACACACGTAGTGTGAGTTACAGCTAGAAGTCACAAACCAAACAACTGCTCGGTGTTTGCAGATGCGGTACTGCAATGGCAAGACTCCCTGAGCCACTGTTGAGTGAGAATGCGAAGGAACATCACTGGTGATTAATGGAATTAGAACCGTAATATCACATATCTGTGCAGATTTGAAATGGGAAAATGCCACAGTCAAGCGCACAATAGTGGCTCTAAAAGTTTAAACCTCTTCAATCTGATCACTTGGTAGAATGCACAGTTGCCCAAAGAAGCATCGCTTCCAAAATACCCAAAAGCGCCATTGTGGTGCAATAATGATTGAGGGTTACGTGTGTTTTTCAACTGGCAGGGAAACCATATGTGTGATGGCACTGGTCTGTTGTGCTACATTAGACTAAAATATTTGTTCATCTCTCACTTCGAAGAGATTTGGAAACATGTTGAATATAATTTGTATTGTTTGCTCAGTGAAACGCGTGAGCTTCTTTTTTAATTTACAAAGCCTCAGAAATATTGTATGTTCTGAGTCGTTGTTTGCACTGTTATACCTTTTATGATGATCTAAATGAATAAATAATGTTTTATAGTAAAGGCTATTTTGTATGTTTTCCTGCTAGCAGAGTAAAGATGGACAAAATAACGATGCTTCAGGGAAGACAAAGAATTCAGAGCAGTCATCCGTGCATCATGTGAAAGAACACAGAAAACCTGAAGAGATCCGAAAGCATAAGGTGAGCCTTTGAAAGTCTCGCCTGCGCTCCTGTTTGAGGTAACATTGCTGATATTATAATGAGGTAAACCATTCTCTCAATTCATATATTTCCTAATCAGCTTCAGGAGCTCCAGGACAGGCAGAAACTCTCTCGGGAACGAGATCTGATGAAGAGAAGGAACTTGCAAAGCTTTCAGAATGACATCCTGCAGCGACAAAGAGATTTTGAGCAGAAGGTAAATGTCGGCCTTCTTTGGCGTTACTAGACTGCAGCAATTAAAATATAAGTGCATTCTGTGCAGAGGGTCACTGTAGTGATGCATGTTTTCTTCTTTGTGTTCACAGGAAATGGATATGCAGAGTTTGGAGAAGAACGTTAATTTTGAGAATGAGAATTCAAGAAAGGCATATTACAGAGAATTTAAAAAGGTATTAAGTTGCTCCATATATGCCACATCTTCATTTCTGATAGCATTTACGTAGAATTAGCACCTCACATTTTTTCTCTTAACCCTTTTCAAAGCAATCCGAAGTCAATGAACGTTGGATAACACTTTTGGAAAGAAATTAAATTGAACACAATCTTTGAAGGTGGTGGAGGCCTCCGATGTGATTTTGGAGGTTTTGGATGCACGTGACCCCCTCGGCTGCAGATGTCCTCAGGTGGAGCAGGCAGTCATTCAAAGTGGAACAAACAAAAAGATCGTTTTAGTGCTTAATAAAATCGGTAAGTGATCTCAATTCATTCTGAAAGTATATATCTTTTAGGGATAATCTGCATTTCCATAATTTCCTCGGATGACAAGGAAGATAATGTTTTATTTACTCTATGAATGTACTTTCAATACTTTTGATTATAGATTTGGTGTCCAAGGAAATCGTGGAAAAGTGGATTAAATTTCTCCGAAATGAGTTTCCCACAGTAGCTTTCAAAGCATCTACTCAGCAACAGAACAAGAACTTGGTACGCAGTTAAAAATGTACACTTTGATCATCTAGAAATGCTAGTTGAGATTTAAGAAATGGATCGGCATAAACTCACATTATTTCTACTGTCTTTTTCCATGGACAGAAACGCAGTAACGTACCGGTGACACAAGCCACCACAGAGCTTCTCAGCACAAGCGCATGTATTGGTGCAGATTGCTTGATGAAGCTACTGGGAAACTACTGCCGCAACCTCGACATAAAGACGGCCATCACCGTCGGTGTTGTAGGTGAGCACCGCGCCCGGCGAGACACCAGGTCCTGTCTTTGCAAGTGGCGAGGTTGTCTAACAGGGAAATCATTTGCCCACTCATGTTTTCTAGGATTTCCTAACGTGGGAAAGAGTAGCTTGATCAACAGTTTGAAACGGGCGCGAGCGTGTAACGTCGGCGCCACTCCTGGTGTCACCAAGTAAGTACACCCGTAAGCCGTCGATGCCGAAGTCCTGCTGGTCCACTTCCGGTCTTGCTGATGGGTTTGCTGGATTTCAGGTGCCTTCAACAGGTGCATTTGGACAAGCACATTAAGCTCCTCGATTGCCCCGGAATCGTCATGGCGACGTCAACGACGGATGCCGCAATGATTCTTCGCAACTGCGTGAAGATTGAACAGCTCGTCGATCCTCTTGGGCCCGTCGAAGCCATCCTCCGGCGCTGCAACAAGGCGGAGGTCTGTCATGTCGGTTAGGGCTGTGCGGTACGGCCAAAGATCCAGAACGGGATTTAGAACGATTCTGGCGGTATTGCTTTGTCATATTAATTCAATGACCCCGAAAAAGACCGCCGGCTACCCCAATTATTAGTGTTACAAATGGTTAATGTGTCACCAGCTGTTGTGGTGTTTTACCCTATAAAGTTATAACCATGACTCAATCTCAACACACGTAAGACAAGTAGCTCCGACCGCTCGGCGCTCCTCCGCGACGTTTAAAGAGAGCAACGTCAGTTGTTGCGGCGTAACACCGGTATGAACCACACGTGAGAAGTTTGTTCCGTACGGAAATCTTACACCGTTTGATCCGTATACCGTCCAGCCCTTGTGTCGGCGCAGCCCTTTTGTGCGTTGCCCGATGGTGTCTTTCGCACGCTGCAGTGACCGTGGTTTTGCTGCATGTACAGATCATGGAGCACTACGGGGTTCCTGACTTTCACACCGCTCTGGAGTTCCTGGCAATGCTTGCCCGACGCCAAGGCAAACTGCGAAAGGGAGGACTGCCGGACACCGACAAAGCAGCAAAGAGCGTGCTAATGGATTGGACAGGGTGAGTTTGGAAGTTTTTACAAATGACCATCAACCAGGTCACAACACCGTGCGAATTTCAAAATGCTTTGTTGTTTAGGGGGAGGATAAGCTACTTCACGCACCCTCCGGAGACACACACCCTTCCCACACACGTCAGCGCTGAGATTGTCACTGAGATGGGTAAAGCTTTTGACTGGGATGAGCTGGAAAAAGGAAATGAGAAGGTTCTTGCAGGTAAAAGTTACTTAGTGTGGAATCTAGAGAATGTTGTCACAGTTTTCAGGCCAAACTTCAGGCCTCTTTGTCGATGGGCTTTTTTGTTTGGTAATTAGTTCCAAAATCTCAGATCATAAATCTAACTTTTACACACTAGTGGATTATAATGGGAACATTGTGTGATGCGTTTTGTTGAAACCTCCCAAAGAAGCAGTGGTTGTTCCAAAGCTGATTACGCCTCTCGCTGTCTTTCAGAATCCTCTTGTCCTGATGTCCAAATGGGATTTTGCATGGAAACCACTGGAATGACACAAGGTGGCCAGGGTGAGCCACCTTCTGACCTGGAAGTGGTGGCGGAAGAGTCCTTGGAAGAGCCAGAATTTAAAGACGAAACTGAATCTATGGAAGATGGCCACGACGCAGAGGTGTGAAACATCCTCCCAGCTTAAGTGCTACGTTACATTATGCTTTATTCAATTAGAAAGTTGTGTCTCCTTTTGAACTTTTCTTCCTGCTCAAAATAGTTTGGACCAATGACTGTGGAGATAAAATCTCAGAGGGCAAAGACTGAACTGCCCTCAAATGATGCTGCATCCAGGGCGCCAGATTTGAAGGACATCTTTGGAGTAGATCCTCTACAGCAGGGTCAGGCTCTCCTGGCTGCTGGCAAGAAGAGGAAAAAGCAGCAAAAAAGAGCTGGTTTGTTTAAATATTGGTCTCATTCTATCTATAGTTTTGTCATATGTGTGATGATACTATTTGTACAATAATGGAGGGAAGAGTAGAGACCAAATGACTGAACTTAATTTTACGTTTTATTTTTTTAAACCACCCGAGAATTAATATATAGCGTCATCGGTTCATAGTAGTAGAGAAGCCTGTGAGAGAAGCTATGGAAAACGTTTCTATGGGTTTGTAGTGTTTATTTTGTTACAATTGATGTGGCAGATGACCAACATGTAATCCTACACACACAAGCGTCCGTAAGAACTATTGTATTTTCTCTACCGTGCGCCATTTAATCGTGAGAAAATGTTTGTTTTTTTCCCTCTGCAGACAAAATTGCCACAAAACTCTCCGACACCTTAACAACGGCAATGGACTTCTCCTTTTCAGATGACTGATTAAAAATAAAGGACTAAATTAATACATAAAACCGGTTTGTGCTGTGTCTTATTTTGATGTAACACATGACACGTGATCCCTTTTTCTTCTGGTAATCACCCTCCAACCGCCGTTTCTTACGACCACTGTAAACCGTGAACGAATCGACAGCGTGTTCGTGGCGTGATGCTTGAATTAATAATTCGTTGATGTAAAGACAAATTCCTGTTTTTTTTCTCCATCTGAGATCACACGGGTTCGCGCCACCGCTGTGTAACTTAGTAGAACAGTAAACGTACCTACAGGTGAAGAGTCGCACTACACGGGCCGGTTGGAAAATGTGCGAGATCGCAGATCACAGCAGTCAACAAGTTCCGGGTGACTCGCGACGGACGGACGACCTCAGGCCGAGATAAACAACACCGCGGGGCAGCAGCTCGAGCACGACGACTTTCACCATGGCGAAGAAACCGGATGACCGCGGACGTCTGTGGCTGTGATTTAACTGAAATAAAATCAGCTGCCACGGTAAGTTCTCGCATTTCCTCGAAAGCGCTAGTTAGCATTTTAGGGTTAGCCTCCGCGGAAACTTAACGGGCGCGAGATCGCGTCGGCTAACGTTAGTTTAGCGGAACTGCCACTTCCCCGCGTTCGACCACGTCTTAAGTTGCTCGTCTTAAGTTGCGTCCTTTACGGTGGCGGCACATTGAACAGCGTGTGACTGGAGCCAGTGTGACGCTGGCGCGAGCTAACGTTAGCGTTAGCTTTAGCTTTAGCGTTGACGTGAGTTTGACGTGCCCCCCCCCCCCGAGCGGCGCTGAGCTGTCAACCGAACTCTGCTTCCATGACGCGAGGCAGCGGCTCTCCGGAAAAAACAGAGGGACGTTATGAAAACTGTGAAGCGTCTAACGCTGACGTTTGATAAGTCAGTCGAATCGAAGCAGCGCTTGTGTCCAAACGGCTCCCAAATCTACCCAAAGCGATCGATTCGGGCCGCGGTAACGTTAAGTCAGCCTTGTTGTGGTGTGACGTCAGCGGGGTTCTCGGAAGAGACGACCCGCCGCGGCGGACATCGCGGCGCCGTCCACATGTCGCGTGACTCCGCTGCCGCGTCACGCCGCGCTGTCGTGTACTTTTCGCTTCACCAAACTTTAGGGAGTTGTTTTTTTTTTTGGTTATTGTCGTGTTTAAGTTGATTTTGTGTGTAGCTTTTGGTTAGAGACGGCGGAGGTCTTCATGAGCCCACACCGCCTCAGGTGAAGACAGAGACACCACCGAACCAGGTGGAGCGTGGACGGAAGAGCCCTTCACGTGCGGTGTTACATCGTGTAGTGGAGCGAGCTGTGGGCAATACGATTAATTCATACTGAGGAGAAAAGAAGATGTTGGCCCAGATGTGATCGATTTTTATTGACAAAGCGAGTCGGATTCTTTCACAACTGCCTCCAGATTTCTAGATCGCTCAGGATTGCCAAATAATGGATGATTAATAATGTCTGGTTTAAATGATAGTGTAACTGCTAAATAATTTAACAAAAACAATTTTCTATTAATAATTATGACAGAAGTAACATCTCAATAACCGGAGCCATCAGAGGACCATTGTGGGTGATTTAACTTGCTGTTTCGTAACAAAATCCGCTTGCATACTTATAATAATACCTGCGTATCTGTGTTTGTGTTCCAGCTCCATCCCTAGATCTCCATCGCTCTCTCTAGCCATGTCGTCGCGCACGTTGCTGAAGCAGCAGCTGATGCGGGAACACGCCCAGGAGCAGGAGAGACGCGAGGCCCTGCACCAGGCCTCCGCCTCTCAGCTCCGCGCCTCCGACTCCACTCCAGCCATCTCTGTCACAATGTCCCCCTATGCTGCCCGGCCCCCTCCAGCACAGGTGCCCGTGGAGGTGCTTAAAGTGAGTTTGTCACCCATGTCCTTTTTGATTTTTAGTGCGGTCGGATTATCCCGGAACATTAAAGTACTCCTTTTGAATGAACAGGTGCAGACCCACCTGGAGAACCCCACCAAGTACCACATCCGGCAGGCTCAGAGGCAGCAGGTGAAGCAGTACCTCTCCACCACTCTTGGCAACAACGTGATTACCCAGACCATCGGTGTGTCGCCGGTGCCGCAGTCCAGTTCCGCCCCTGAAGTTGCTCTCACTGCCAGCAGTGCCCCTAACAGTCCCATGGCTCTACTCAACATCGGATCCAACAAGGAGGAAGTATGGGAAATCCTGCCCCCCCACACACACACACACCCTCCCTCCTGCCCCCCCGCCTTGTGATACGAGAAGTGTGAATTTTTGTGTCTGGTTCTGGTTTCCTGCTGAAGCAGATTGCGAAACCATGTGCATCGATGTCCTTCTGCAACCGCGCAGCGCAATATTGGACGAGTTAAATGTCCCCCCCCCCCCTTTGCTCACTTTCAGCTTAATTGCTTTCTGTTTGCACGGCAACGATGTGTCCGAGGGTCCCACTGCGCCGATGCATTATTATAACCGTGTTGGCCTATTGTCACAATAAGATGTGACATACTGCGCTCGACGGTTAACCCATGGCAGCACTTCTCCCCTCTCTGTAAAATCAGGCCTCTTCAGTTAAATTGGTTGTAGTTTTTAGTGCCAGCCTTTGCTGAGTATACTTATACTGGGCTGTTTTTTAGTGTTTTAGTTACATGATGATTACTCCGGACACATTAAACCCCAAGGACTTTACTGATTAAGTAACAATGGTTTTTTGTTCTTTTCTCATCTGCTTTATCTAGATTGACGACGTGATAGACGACATCATTAGCCTTGAATCCAGTTTCAATGACGAAATCACTACCTTGATTGACTCAGGGCTTCAGTTGCCCAACACGGTGTGTAGAGCAATGTATTTATTTTACTTTGTTTTTTAAAGTTTACAGGTTGTTCATTTGACCTACACTGACAGGATATCGCTGCATTTCAGGTCAAACCAACCATTTTCTTTTGTACCCAGTGTTTTTCTTTGAATGGATGGTCTCTATAATGTGTGGAATTCTGAAGTCGTAGGAGTAAATATACACTTTTGACACGGAGTTACTATTCGTCACAAAAGCGCTGCCTGGGCGGGGTAAAGGTATCACAGGGTACAAGACCAGGAGAAGCGAGTGGTTTGTACTGTAAAAATTCATGTTGTACCTTCCAGGTTAACCACTAATTTGTCAAATAGGAAGAGTTCACCAAAATTTACCCATAAAAAAAAAAAAAAAAAGTGGATTATGATTTTTCTTTTGGAAGACAAGAAAAAGAAGCACAGTGAGGTAAATTCTTATTCAATTTTTGGAAATAGCACCTAATATTGTTTTCCTGCCATATATTAAATGTTTTTTTTTCTTTATCCCTTTATGGCCTTTGTTTTAAAGTTTAGTTCTTGAAGGTAATCGTTATACCTGCTTTTTATGTCACGTTTGCTCTGTGCAAGATGCATTAGTATTCATCTGCCCGAGAACCAAATCAAATCATTTTTTGTTATTCTCATTTCGAGTAAAATGAGGACTCTTTTCAGAAAGTAAAATGCATTGCTTTTTAAAAATGTGTGTCATAAGAATTAAATTACTTATATTTCACATAAATGTATTTAACTGCACTGTCGAAGTGAAGGCCATCTTATTCTAATCTCCTCAAATAAGCAATTTGTGTCCAATTATAATAGCTCCGTTAATTTAAGGCCACTTGTTTCAGTTTTGTCTGTTAACATCGTCCCTGTGCCGTGACTTTGTTCATCGGGTGAGATGGTTACCGACACGCGTGATCGGTCGGTCCACTTCCTGAGGCGCTGGACGAGTGTTGCAAAGGCGCAGTCGGTCGAGGCGTAGAGACAACACAGCTGTAAGTGGGGCCGTGGTCTGCTTGTTAGTGACATATATTCAGCATGCTCTGCTTCCTTCAGCTCCCGGGGAACCTGTTGGATGTATACCACAGCTCTGGAATGGCCGCGCCCACTCTCACTGTCAGCAACTCCTGCCCGGCTGATCTTCCAAAAATTAAAAGGGAAATTACAGGTAGAGTATCTCACTTCCTCAAACATGATTCTTTTGACTGTTCTTCAGTGTTACGATAACCTTTTTTTTTTTAAGGTTTGAAATATTTAATTGTACGCAACATTACATTACATTACATTACGCTGTGTATCTGTGTTTCAGATGTAGACGCCAAAGCAATAATGAAAGAAAGGCAGAAGAAAGACAACCATAACCTCAGTGAGTCAGAAAGACATTTGTTTAATGTGAATGCAGTTTGCACCAGAAATACATTTGGAGCAAATCTATTGCATGTTTCAACTCTCGAACGACCATTTGATCTTTTTGTCTGCTCATTTTTTTTCCTATTTTCAACTTCATATCTTAAACTAAAAATAAGTTTATTTACATTGGTTTCTTCCTGTTATGTCGTCTCTTTGTTCCCACTGTAATCGCTTTTATTCTCTGTCCCAGAGTGCTTTTGGGAACAATTTATAAAGCGCTACGCAAATAACCTGTATTACCGTTATTTCTTTATAACTGGTTGTTGCTTTCCCTCTATGCCTTGTCGTTGTGGCAGTTGAGAGGAGGCGGCGATTCAACATCAACGACCGCATAAAGGAGCTTGGTACTCTGATACCCAAGTCGAACGACCCGTAAGCGCAGTCAGATTTTTCAGGATATAGTTTTTCTTTACACCCTGATTGTTAGATTGATAGATGTTAAATTGTTAGTACCTGCACCGGTTGTGTATTAAAAACCTTCCTGTTGTGTTTCTTTTCCTCCCTGTCTGTAAAATACATGTTTACTGATATCACAATGACGTCAGCGAGATGCGCTGGAACAAAGGCACTATACTGAAAGCCTCAGTAGACTACATCCGCAAGTTGCAGAAGGAGCAGCAGAGAGCCAAGGACATCGATATGCGTCAGAAGAAGCTGGAGCTCGTAAACCACAATCTGATGTTACGCATCCAGGTCAGTACCTGTTGGCTCTGGCGGCAGATCCAAGACAGGAGATGCAACAGCCATATTTATTTGAATGTATGTTGTGGAAGTTAAAGACAGAGTGGATAGGACTGGTGGGCTGGGTAAGCAATTCTGGCCCCTCCTCTTGCCTCGACAAAACCGGCGGTGCGCCCACTTTTTCAGCGGTTTGTGTCTGGGTGCTTCCTATATCTGTTTGTGGGCGACTGTGGGTGAGGGGGCGCACGGTCGTCCTCCAATCAGAGGGTTGTCGGTTCGATCCCAGGCCCGGCTAACCCGCATGTCTATGTGTCCTTGGGCAAGACACTTAACCCGACTCCTGCAGCTGCGACTACAGTGTGTGAATGTTAGTTACTGATGGGCAGGTGTCACTGTGTATGGTTCTCCTGTCATCAGTGTATGGATGGGTGTGAATGGGTGAATGATGTCATGTAGTGTTAAAGCGCTTTGAGTGGTTGGAAGACTAGACAAAGCGCTATACAAGTACAGACCATTTACCATATCTACATTTTTTTGCAGCGCATTTTAAAAGCTATCTCTTTGATGCGGGCTTTCGACAGTGGCTCCTAGTCGCTACATTTTTATAGTTTACGGGCAGAAATGGTTGGATAGAAGAAAGTACAAGTAGGGGACCTGGCTTGTGTAGATGCCCTTTTCAATTTGTCCGCATGGGGGAAACGTGCTTCTGCAGGCTACACAGATGTGAAAGCAAAGAACTTTTGCCACTTTGAGGTGTTGTTTATTTTAAGGAAATGACTTTCCATATGCTAAATGCATGTGTTGTAACAAAAATAACCATTGCAATCATTCCAGAACCAGACATCTGAATTGCGCGTCTGCTGCTTTTTGTTGTTGTTTGTAGGAACTGGAAATGCAGGCGCGGCACCACAGCCTGAGTCCGGATCCATCCCTTCTACATCAGCAGCAGGTCCAGCACGGCGGTCCGTCACTGCCCCAAGGTGCAGACGGCGTCTCCTCCCAAAACCTCCTCAGCATGGGCGCGTCCGGCATCGGACAGCCTCTGCCGGCCTCCTTCCTGTCCCCGCCCTCCTCTGACTCTCCGGCAGGAGTCACCATCAGCAGCCCGCTGGACCTGGGGGGCCTGAGCTTCGCCGAGCTGGACGACGACTCTGCCTCGGGACTCTACCCCGACGTGGGCTTGGGAGACTTTTTAATGGACGAGGTGTACACGCTGTCCCCAGAGAGGATGGCCGAGCCGCTCTTCTCCCCCTTGTCGCCCGGTGCCTCGAAAGGCAGCAGTCGCAGGAGCAGCCTTGAAATGGACGAGGACCTGTGATGGGGCTTTCTGTAGGGACAGAAAGGGCAGTCTATCCTTAAGTAACCGCAGTCTATTCGTAGGACTGTACAATGGAACATAGAAATAGCTACCGTTTAAGATCAAAATTAACATGTTCTTGATTTTATTTTTATTTTTGCCATACAGGCCTAATTATTATTGTTTGGAGCCGGTCCGATTTGATTATGTCTAGGTCTATAAAGGTCTATAAATGCAATCTTATTCAAATGAAATCTTGTATCGTAGGGGCTTGGACTTCCATTCTCATTTAGTTTTAAATATTTACTTCAGAGATCTAAGAGGGACATAACGTTTGCTTGAATTTATTATGTGCTCATAGGGAAGAAAGCTGTGAGGTTTCATTTTTTCACAACAACACTGGCATAAAAAACTGCGATGCCAACGTACATTATATTTTCTTTTTCACGGGGTGGATTCAGGGTTTGTTTATAGCGGTTGCATGCTCTTCCACGTTTGGTTTCACCAGCAGCTACAGAAAGGATCTTTCTACAGTGAATTGGCACATTTTTAGATATTTACTGAATTTTGTATATAAGAATATTTTATTTTGAGCAATTTAATTGCACCTTATTTTACGGCAGTCTATGCATTTTATGAGCGCTTTTGTCCGTTTTTATTGCTATCACACAGAGGGGACAGGTTGCATGTATTTGTAATACATTTTAAAAGCAATGTAACATTCACTTGCTGCTGCAGCTAGTCGGCCAAAGCAGGACTTCTTCCTGAGTAGCGACAAATTACAAATCAGCGTTTTATTTTTTTGAATATATTCAGGAGCCCCAAGAAAAGAGCAGCCGGGGACGGCTTTGCGTGTGTCCTGCTGCGCACAGACCTACGGATGCAAGTCTCACTAAGAGAATGGCTCGCTTTTTCAACTTAAAGTAAACTGACATATTTAACAATATGCACCACATCATGCCAATATGTGTAGTGTTTGACAAGGCAGGACACAACACAGGGTGTCGTCCCCTTTGCCAACTGTTTTTAAATTTGTTTAACCAATAACCAAAAGGTATTTGCTTCACAGAGGTATATAAAAACAGAAAATACATCACCGAAACTGGATCGAGATTATGTTTTTTTTCTAGAATTGGCACAATAATCTGCTGAGCCACAATAAAGCCTCTGATCTCTGGACACATATTTTAATGACAAACTGCAATTAAATGGGTTGACAGTAACAAAAAAACAAAAAACTGTCGGTAAGCTTTTGAAGGCAATTACTTTACGCAGTCAGTTTATGAGTGAGGGAAAGCGACAACTGAAAAGTAAGTTCAACGCAACAGTCAACAAGAAAAACTAGTAAAGTAACAAAGATTACATTTGCAAATTATATTTGACCTTTAACTTACTGCAATGACCACGACTTTTAACTTTAAATTATGCAACCCGATATTAGAAACTGCTCTTTAGTGCATGAAGAAGTATCCTATCCAAAACAGGGTTTGCATTAGAGATTACAAGTTAACAAACATCTTCATAGTGGGAGTGCGTACCCCAAAAAAGATGAGAAAACACAAACTTTGTCCAGACTCAGATACATGTACTTTTATCCCCTTAGGAGAAATTACAAAAGTACATCTCGTTAACAGCTTTTACTTGTTAAGACCTTGAACTTCCAAGAGACTATTTGACGTGAAAGAAACACAGAACATCAAAAATACCACTTTGATTCTACAATTTAATGCTTATTTTTTAAATTTGGGGGCTCTGAAATAGGAAAAAGTATATAACTTTTAAATTACTTTATCAAGGCACTGTATACTTAAGATGTGGTGGCGCAAATTACGAGGGCCAAGGAAACTCTGTAGTTGGAGAAGATTGCGTTGCCGGTGCAGAGAGTCAGGCCCGGTCGCAGGTCAAGTCCTGCCTCAGTTTCCTGCGTCCGCTGGAGGACTCGAGGGAGAAGCGAGGAGGCCGGAGCCAGCTGCAGGACCTAAAACCAATCGCCTTCGATGCACGTTCTTAAAACTCTGCTTGGAACTTTGGGAGGGAGGACGCACGCTGTTCCTCAAAGTCGCTACGCTGCATCCTTGTAGCCTGCAGCCTTCTCTGTAGACCTGGGCTGGTCCTCCAACAACCGCATAGGCAGAACCGAGCGGTCTGTGAAATAGGACGGTCTGTCCTACGCGGGGGACTTCCTGCTTGCGTCATCAGCTTTACCTCCACTGCTTCCGTTGCCTAGCAACCTGCTGAGCTTAACAATAAAAGCCTTAAAAGCCAAAATAATAATAATCTTATTTCATTTCATTTAGGAAGATATGCATCTCCTCCGGAGCATGATATATTTCAGGCTGAAAGAAGAACTATTTTAAGTTCAAATTGAATCAGTTAGGCCATGTACTTTCAGCTAAAAGTAATAATGCAATCTCAAGGCAGAGGAGATTCCATCAATACTGTCAACAAAAAACAACAGCAAACACATTCACTTGTAGGCAAGGACTTCTTATTTTTCTATTGCATAGAATATGAGCTGTTTTAACTGTAACCGTACGATGTCACAGAATATGTCCAAGCTACAGCTGCTGAATGTCACCACACATTGTTCTCTTTCAGCTGGATGCTGATTCCTCCTGCTCCATAAAACACAACTAAATGTAAAGTTTATGATCACACAACAAAAGGAGCGAAGCGAGTTTAAATGGTGTTTGCTTAAATAGAATATATCTGAGGATGAACATATATATAATCGATAGCAATATAAAATGGTTTCATATAAAAAAATAAACGTGTATGTGTCAACTCAAACGGACCTTTGAGCCACATTTCGTGCTTTTAGCCGTCGTTCTGCCGTTTTTGCCAACTGAAATTGGCTGGAGGGAAATCTCGACTTCAAGCACGTACCCTGCCGAGCTCCATCTGCAGTACGTATCCTTTCAATGAGCAGTTTAAAAGTTGTTTGTAAGTCTTGTTCCAATAGTTACTTTGACCTTTGACAAAAAAATCAACTGCAAGGAGAAAAATCCATGAGGAATGCATTTGACAACCAGCTGGTTTCAATGTTCACAGCTCGCTGTTCTGTGCTGCAGATCCAACGTGTCTGTTCTTCATGTAATATAAAAATCTCTAAATACTTCTCAATGTTCCTCATATTCGGCTCCATGTTTTATTAACTCCCTCTATTCTTTTCTTGGTGGTTGGAGTTCAGGGGTAATCTGTCCTTTCATTCACTCATTTACTTAACCTTGAATAATGGTTCCCTCTTGTGGTTCCTCCTCATTAATCCAACAAATCGGGTTGTTGTACTCAGTTTATATTGCTGTATATTTGAAGCAATATGTCTGGATCAGATAATATGTGTTACTTGGCTTATTAGCGGTATTTGAAATGTTCTTTGACTGTAAATAGCTTAGAAGATTGTAAATAAAACAATGTGGTTCTGGGCGACGGCCTCAGGCTTTAAGGTGGGAAAATAGAAATCTCTTTCCTAATGCAGTTTTATTTTTTTTTTAAGTTTGGCTTGCATCAACATCCAGTAAAGATTGTGAAACTAAGGGTTAGACCATTTTCCGATTTTCAGTTTCATTGTGGGATTAAGAGCGTCACCACTGTAAATCTTCCCCCGAGCCTCGAACAGCAAGCTGCGGAAGGTGAGCAGGATTCACTTGCTCGCTCGGTTGAATCAGACAGCTCTCAATGCGGTGCACATCTGCCCAGATGTGCCAGATGACAAGCAAGCAGGAAGCATCAGTGACTACAGGATGCACCATACAACCAGACCACAGTTCTTTGAAAGGGTGGAGGCGGTGCGGCGGGCCTCCCACACCGTCACCACCGTTGCATGGCAGCAGACAATCTCCAATCCCATTTTAAAAGCTGACCTAAGCAAACAGAGGCCGTACTCACTCACATACTTTATTGGTTGCTGTTTTTGACTACGCAGGTTCAGTTCACACAAATAACTATCAACGTGTTTTCCCGTTGTGTCCTGCAGTAAGTGACTGTGCTGCAGGACACACTTATAATGAAGTCTGCTTGAAGTGAGCACCGGGATGATTCTGGTACACGTTGTTTCTGGAATTAAATATTCATGCTGGTCCTTTTCTAATGCGTTGGGTTCCAAACCAAATCTCATCTAAGTCTGTAGTGTTAACGCAGGGCCAGAAATCTCAACAGGAGATACCTTCAACCAGTGGCGAATAAAACAGACAGTTAATTATTGGAAAAGACCGACAAGATTTTTTTCTCATCAATTTAAAGGTGGAATATGTAAGTGTTGGCCAAATAAAAATAAGGGTCTGCCGTTGATCTTATAACAGGTTCATACAATCTAAATGTCCATTGGTGATTAAAAAAAAGCTCCCTACTAACCAACTTAGATCACATATTTCAATTTCAATAAACACACATTAAAGTAAGCAGACCATTAGCAACCGGACCACATCCTTGAAGAGTTGAGAATGCACAAGAGTTGGTGAATAAGTGCGTGACTTATAGTAAGATGATATATTATGTATAAAGTGACAAAAACTACTACATACTCAAATGTTACCTATTTAATGTCTTAACATGAGTTTAAGGTCTGCCATCACTACATCATTCATTTAGAGGGGAATAATAAATACCTGAATCACAATGATGAGTATAAAGTGGTTATTTATGACTTTCCATATATTTTATTGCCATTTCCTCCTTTGAAAATACATCTGGAATAAACGTTTTTTTGAACTAACTCATCATTTAGTCATTTAAAGTATTTTAAATAAAAAAATAGTCAAATAACTGTCCCAAGTTTTATAAAATAAAGTTGATAAAAAAATGAAATCATTTTCAAATCATCTCACAAAGTGAGAAAAATAAATGCAATTAAAAATGGTCTCTGCAAAAGGTAATCTCAGAAATTAAGTACCTTTTCTGTTTCACCGGACCAATTTTATACTGAGGATATGATATGATAGAATATCATCATCTTTGACCGTGACAGCTCTAAATCATTGTTGAACGTGTCTATAATCAGATGTCTGACTTTAACCGTGTAAAACATATAAACATTTTGCTTTGAATAATATATAAAAAAAATCAAACAGCAATGTCAGTCCACCAGCACCGGTGTGCATAACGCTCCCAGCGTGGGTGAGTCCGTCTCATTCTCTGGCCACGTGAACACTGAATCCTCCGCAGCATCTCCCGGCACTCGTGTAGAACGGTCGCACGACGATGCCCAGCACAACGCTCCACAGGCTCTCCAGCCAGCGCGCCCCAACGAGGGCGCAGCGGCTGCAAGGCCCAACGATCCTGTCATAGAAAGGAACACAGGAATCATACTGCAGTCACGTTCCTGTACTAGACTTTGTTTCACACGTGCTTCATTGTATAACAGAACCAGACATTTTAATGCCAATTAATAATATATTCTTACATTTTCAAAAATGACTCATTCACTCAACTTAGCATTATTTCATTGCTGCTTTGTTTGTAATCTGACCAGTTAGTATTACTGACTAGACTCTGCGGTAGCAGTTTAAAGCACAGCTGCACAGGGGGCCTCTTGAGCGATGTGAGCGACACAAATAAACTCTGATTAACCGCCAAGTTATTGGGAGCTGGGCAGCGATTGAGTGGGTGAGAACATGTGCAGAAACAACCAGACGGGTAGCTACACCTACCAGATGTGAAGGCAGCTTAGGATGGCAAAGAGGAGACCGGAGGCAATTGAAATGGGAATGGCCAGAAGCACTGTCACTACCCTGTAGACCCAAACCCTGGACACCTCGAACAAGGCATTACTCCAGAACCACACTCTGTCCCCACTGCGCACTGACACCGGCTCAGCGATCACGTCCTCAAATGTCACCTGCAGACAGGAAGACAAAGTTGTGCTGATGCTACAGAGGTGAATCAACAATTATTGTTTACCTTGATTCCCCCATTAAGAGTTCCTTTCCTCCACTAGAGGGCAGTGCAACCACCCAGTTTCTCAGCTCTGAGTGGCAATCATGCATTTTGTATCCACTATCTCGCTGCATGTGACACAAAAAAGAAGGTTCCATAAAACAGATGCAGTACCTTGAGACAGTCATTGATACCGCGGGGGTCTCGGACGTTTATCAGAGGCTTGGTATCACTGATTTCTACCAGTGCCGACGTATGAATGTCTTCCTCTTCCTCCAGAGAAGGATGGGCCCTCCACAGAGTTTCAGGTTCCTCCCCATTAGAGTCGCTAGAGTCCTCCAGGTCAATCTCTACTTCCTCTGCTTCTTCCCCTTTTATCATGGTGTTCATCAAAAACACGCAAAGAAAGGTCTGTCCAGCGAGCGGGGAGCCCGTCTGTATCCGTACGGCTCGGACTGAGGCCGCTGCCTGGGTGTGTGTGGTTATATTGGGAGCGTTACGGTGCCCTCGGTGGTATTTGCAGATGGTCTTTCAAGTGAAGATCATTTTCCTGTGCTGTGGGAGGGTTAGGAAGGACAGGGTGGGATATAAATACTGTCAGCATGGGGATGGTTCTGTATACTCTGATACACCCAACTGGAAATGCAATCACACGGAGACAGACGCACACGTGAGACGATTCTCCCTGCATGACAGCAAAGAGAGTATATTTTGTGATAAAGGTTGCATTGTGAATTGTAGTCATTTACTTACTTACAATAATTCACAAGCTCAGTTTAACTTCAGACAGTGCAAAAAGATTCCTTTTGTCAATAATCCGAAGTTACTCAACTTCAAGAAGCTTTTCCCAGTGGAGCTTTTTTCATATCTTCATTGGTCTCCCTGTGACTGAGACAAAAACGCCTTCCTGTGGTTTCCCAAACAGGACTGAGTGTTGAAACCAATCATCATGGGAAACATTTCTAAAATTATTTAGTAGAATATATTGTTGTCAGTTTATCTCTACAATATATGCAACTTTAATTTGTTTTATCTCTACATAAATCTTTGAATGGAGCTCCTTTTCTGTACCGATGCAGAATAAATATTAGGTATAAGCCACTGGAGGCCTGATAAAAATAACATCTATATAATCACTTCAATCACTAAAAACTGACCTTTGATGCTTTTAGCTATTTAGTTTTGAAAAATACAACAATAATAAAACAATGCATTTTATTCGTAAAATCCATCTCAAATTTTTTACTGTCCCCTATATAAAAGTGAATTGTGCAGCTTTGTGACTGTCTTGGTTTGCTGTTTGAGTTCACGATATCCTCCTCCAGGCCCAGTGCGAGGAACGCTCTCGGGTCTCTGCACTGGATGTGAAGCATGTTTCGCAACATGCTTTTAAGAAGGAAAACAACTTTCCCCTCTAAGAACCTTTGGACCCATTAACCACTCACGCTCTCTGCTATTAATAGGTCAGCTATGATTTCTCAGAGTTGGACCTTATCGCTCGGCTACCTACCAGACCTTCATCACAACATAAGGCCACGACCATCCGATAAAATAACCTGAGCTTCTACGCACGTAGACCTGTAGCCGCGACGAGCGCCGTCGCCATGGTAACGAATGTTTCTGCCTGCTGGATGACGACGGAGAGAGAACACGGCGTATTGATGACAGTGAGTTTCCTGTGACTGTGCCGGAGACGATGGTATGCTAATGGCCCCCACACCTCACCAGATGGGCTTTGTTTGTGGATGCAGCTGCACAGGTTAGGTCAGCGGACGGCGTGTGTGTGTGTGTGTGTGTGTGTGTGTGTGTGTGTGTGTGTGTGTGTGTTCGTATGTGTATGAGTAGAGAGAGAGAGGGAGGGAGAAGGATGAGAACAAAAAAAGAGAAAGACACATTTTCTAGCTCATTGTACCATGTGTTTCAGGATTACCCCACGATGTCCCATTTATCAGGGATTAAGACACATATTCAGATAAACGTCTGACTCAGAATACCTTTGAAATATATTATCACTTTATGTGTGGGAAACGTTCATTTAGATTTGCTTAATTCTGGTTTCTGACACAAATATCACGAATAGCTGTTTGCATCTTATGTTACAGTCCCTGAAAAATCCTTTAAATAGTCAAAATAAGCAACAATAAAAAACTTTAATGGTAGAATAAATAACCCCCAGAAACTTTTGACTTTATGTGGACTCCTTTTATCATGTTATGAAGTTTAAGGTTTTTTTCTCCATGTATGACCCTCTCATGACCTCATTGTTACAACACGCACAATAAACCCAATAAACCCGAATTGCAATGAGGGCGATTGTAAGACAAAACACACCTCCCATGTTTCTGTTTCTGTCGTATTTGCATTTTATCTCACAGTTACAGGCAAACGGGCTCGTCACAGGAGGCTTATTGGGGGAATGACGGAGATCAGACAGCACCTGTCAGTCCAGCTGCTTTCAGTACAATAGGTCAGGCTGATTATTTGACACGTATATTTGACCACGTGGTCACCAATCCGGTGCCTCTCGACTAACCAGAGAGAAGAGAACCGCCTGAAACGTTTTAACATCAGATTATCTGCACAAAATACCCCCAGAAAGATCAAACCAACAGAAGTGGATGCAGTACAACAACACATTTTTTCACAGTATGTGTGCGCGCTAATGTTTGCCACAAAATGGCAGAATTAAATACAGTATATTGAGGATGTAAATCTTAATTTGGAGAGAAATGTATACACACATTCCCTTTCACCATGCATTCATTATTAATAACTATTTTTTAATTGAATGTCCAACATTTGGGAAAATCAAACTCTGGTTGAATAGGATCAGCGAGGAAGACTAAACTCTTGCATCCCTGAGTCCGTAGTTTATTTCATCATCTCCTTGTGTCACTGTTCAGGGCTGCTGCTAATATGACTGTTTCTAACCCTTCAGTAGATTCATGTTGCTGTTACGCTATACGTTATATTGCTGCTGCCGATCAATAATAATAACAATTATCTTTTCTTTTTTTGACTTTTGACCAATGCTTATTTCCGTTAGATGACAGTATTCCTCTTTCACACCTGTCAATTGAATGTGAAGCTCCAGCCCATTAAGTCACAGCGGCAATAAGTCCACAGAAATCCTACATGTTGTTCTTTTCACAGGCGAATGTGAGAGAAACCAGCAAAACATGAATAATCATTAATGTTGAATTATTTTCCAGACATTTTAGTTGCTGGCTACGTCTCCACAATTAGCACATCGGAGACACGAGTTGTTGAGCTTGTAACCGAGAAGCGTATTTTCCCAAATCATCAAACTGTTCCTTTGAGGAGACCTTTTTTCAGAGGGCCTGTGACATGCACACGCGTGTCCTCCCGGGCCACGGGCCCTCGGTCAGCTTGTGTAAGCTGAGTGCACTGAACACCAGGTTGTGCTCCGTGAAGCCCAATGAAGACGGTTGGCAGATGTCACACGTTCAGGCAGTTCTGAGGGAAGTGATGCTGTGACCGGGAGGTCTGATGAAATAAATGTTCGCCCTGTTGGACAACGCCATCCATCAAACGTCCTCCCTTTGATTAGCCTGGAGTGGTTTTCTCTGAAGCACTTTCAAACAGGCGCCACAGAATACAGCACGCAGAGGAGCATCGAGGCTCTTCAGATGGACCGGTAATAACAACAGAATGAAAAAAGCCGTGAATTCTCATTTGCTATGAGGAGGGAGCTCGTGTTCGAACTAATATGCTTCACAAAAGATGTGTACAGCTCATTTGATGAGTCTTGATTTAATAAAAGCTGCTACTGAGATTGGAGGTCCTTCACTTTAATTAGCAACTTATGAAGACGAGCTCAGGCTCAAATATTCAATCTTTAGAAGTGAGGTGATGAAACAGCTCTTTGAACTGTATTTCTTTTCACATGATTGTATGACGTACCGTGCATCACATTACAGAGATTAGTAACGTAAGAGTCCATCATTTTAAGTGCAGTGTTTTCTTTCTTTCTTTTACATTAAATAAAATCCATTGCATCCTTTCATACAAATTACCCCCCCATTATTGGGTTTATTTGCACATTTAAAGCTTAAGAAACAATACACTTTTCAACGAAACGTAATTTGTTTCTTCTTAAATAAGGTTCACACTGCAACAGAAAAGCAACATAACAGTGAATAAGTAGTACAAAGACCATTGCTGCCATGTTGATAACTTGTGTAAAACAGGTTGTCTTAAGAACTTGTGAATAAGGAAAGACGTCTTACTCTCATCCTCATTATATACATGTAGATATCAATTAGTATTTACCTGCAGATTAGTACACTGATCACATTGTTACAATCACTTATTCAAGTATAATCTGGTATTTGTGTTATTTTAAGTATAATATATGTAATGTATAATATATGTTTCAGTAGCTATAATTACAAAATATTCCTTCTAAGATTAATAACGTGACGGTATTAATTCAAACAGAAAAATAATTAAAGAAACGCCGTCCATAGCTTTCTATTTCTGTGTTGTTTCTGAGTGTAATCTTTACAACGGGGATGCTCTGTGTTAACTTCCACTGCATGCAAATACATCATATTATCATATTAACGCTGGTGCCACAAAAGTGGAGTTCATCTAACTGAACTCTTCAGGGATCTGTCCCGGTATCCTGAAACCAGTCTGCCCAGTGTGATCCAGCGTGCTTCTAGGACTCGATGGGGCAAAGCTCGCCTGCGTCTCCACTGTGCAGCTGGTCCTGTGGAGGAACTGCAGGAAGTTCTCGTGCCCCGAGCCCTCGTGGCTGGAGACGGGCAGCTCCGCCGGCCGGGCCGAGTAGCAGCGCCTCAGCTTGCAAAGTTCCTCCCGGATCTGCCGGTTGAGCAGCCCGTAAAAAAATGGGTTGATGGCAAAGGACGAGTACGCCAGCCATGAGACGGTTTCCTCCAGGTCATCGGGAATGTGGGGGGTGGCGTCGAGCATCAGATATAAGTGAAAGGCAAAGTACGGCAGCCAGCAGATCAGAAACTGCCCAACAATGACCACCAGGGTGAGAGCGGCTTTACCTCCACCAAACGGCCGGTCGCGCGTGACCCTACGCGGAGCGTTGCGCGTTGTGATGATGGTGGTCTGGCTGTTTATGGAGTCCGAGCGCTGCTTCACCTGACTGTTTGTCCACAAGGGCAGAGGGCCGTGCTGGCGGGCGGCCACGCGGGCCACCTTGTAGACGTTACAGTAGACGGCGAAAATCACCACAGCGGGGAGGCAGAAACACGTAACGCCGAAGCACACGGAGAAGACTCGTCCGTGGTCGCTGTGGCTCCAGTACAGCGAGCAGTGTGCGGCGCCCATGGCGCTCAGCGTGCCGTAGGACGGCCACCCGAACACGGTGGACAGGCCCAGCACCGCCGACGCCACCCACACGACCACCAACACGGCCGCGGTCAGCTTCAGCGTCATCTTGACCTCGTAGCGCATGGGGTGGACGATGTAGTAGTAGCGCTCCACGCTGATGGCCGTGATGGTGAAGATGGAGGCCGCCATGAGCACCACGTTGAGGAAGACGTACACCTGGCACTCGAGCACGGTGAACACCACGCCGGCAAAGTACGCGGAGCTGGACACGATCCCGAGAGGCATGATCAGGACGGCACACAGCAGGTCCACTGCACACAGGTGGCACACAAAGGCAAATTTCCTGAGGTGGGGAGCTTTTACGACAACGGCCAGAACAGCAGCGTTGGCTAAGAGTGCCAGAACGTTCAGGGTGACCATGAAAAAGATCCCCGCCAGATCCTTGAAGCGTGTCTGCGGGTTGGGAAGGGTGCCCAGGTGTCTGCTGGGAGCTGAGGGCATCGGCGCCCAGACAGTAGTGGTGTCATTGTGCAGACGGTTCAGAAAGGAACTGCTTTCCTCCATGATTCATCGTAAAGGTTCCAGGGTGAAGGTACGCGTCCGTATTCCACGCTCCCCCATTGTTCAGTAAACAGGGTGGAGAATCATTTGGCCATCAAATGAAATGCTCTTCACTGCTGTGTGCAGAAAATAAAGTCCATTAAAACATTGACATTTATTGCAAATCATTTCCAATAACGACTACATTTGATCTTTACACCTGTAGTAAAAACTACTTGGGAAACAATACTGATATTTTACCTCTGGATTTTATATGGTTGACATGGATGAAGACTTCTAACATCCGGTGGATTAATCACAACATTTTGTGTTCCACTTATAATTTGTGGGCTGAGAGGGTTTAAGGCTGAGCAGAACAAGCGATGACGACTGATCTGTTGGTGTTTAAATTGTGGACAAAAAACAAAATATACTTCCACAGTATAACTATATAGTTTTATAGTCAGTCAAAAGCATATTACAGGTGAATTGCATGAATTGCATTTCTTAGTATAACCTATTAAAAGGGCTTAATATAGTTGTTTGATATAAATCCAGAGATCCTTACTGCAGCATTGTAACATTGAAGAGAACACAAGTACATTCCTTAAAGCTATTGCAAAGTTAATCAATAACTATTTGGGAGAGTGTTTAAGAAGTGATGCTCTCTAATGAGGGAAGGACATGATCAGTAGGAATAATTCATAGAGGACACACTGTCTCCCTCACATCCCCATCCTTTTGAAATGAAAGATAATGAGTGTTCTTGTTTTATCCCAGCGGCATTGATTAGTATGTGTTCTGTGTCATCCTCAAAGAGGGAAGCCCCCACCGAGGCAGTTTCAACACAGTCACTGTGCAGTTTGTCAAAAACAAAAAGCATTGACTTACTACATGTGTGTTACATTTAAATCGTGGGCAACAAATTTGCCCCCCCCCCCCCCCCACTCATGCTGTAATCTTCTCTGGTGGACAGCATGCAACATTTGCAGTGACATTTGTCCCCAGGAAGCACCAGTACGTGTACACTCTCATACACATTATGCAAGGTTACCCTCATTTTCATCATGTTGCACTACGAGTTGCACCACTGCATACATGCTTTAAACCCACGTTGTGCTTCTGAAGAGGATGATCACTTAGCCAGCCAGTCATTTTCTGTTATCCCAATCATTAATTCAATGGAGAAACCTGCATTGATTTAGTCTTCTCTGTAGTTCATGTTTAATATACATTCTACTAAGGAAGAGGGAATTATGCAGCTCGTTTGATCTCTTATAAATCCATGGAGTATTGTATCATGAAGTGAAACCCCATGATTACACCTTTTGTTAATGTCAATGACAAACTGTAATGAAAGAATGAATAACTACCATTCTTCAGTGACTAAATATGCACTTATAATGAAGTAATTAAAACAAATGTATTAAAGGTGTAGTTAAGACATTAAAATGAGTATTGCATTGCATAACTTATTACACAAGTATCACATATTCGTGTCTTACAGTAGATTCCCAATACTGCATTGTAATAGTAAAATGCATTATTTCCACAAAACACATTGAAGTAAAGTGACCTTTAGCAATAGACGTTATTCCAGGCTGTCCAGGAACAACATCAAAAATTCATCTTGTGTGGAAGTGGCTTTCTTGTCCAGTTTGTCATTTGTGATGCCACAGTTTAATTTTCCATACCATCATATATCATTTCATATTTTATTTACTACTGTCCGTTACCTTGTTGGGTTTGTAAAGGTCTGGGAGCTCTTCTGTTAACCAAATAGACTAAATTCTCACAATTAAAAACTACATTTTACCAGACTGCAATTTGTCAGAACAATTCAAAAACAATCCTTACATTTCAAACAGCGTCTGCAGCTCCTCCAAATAGTTTTCTCTTGAGTTTTGTAAAGTTGAATACTTCCAAATCATGGTGATGAACCCTGCCGGAATCCTTTAAAAGCACCAAAATGGGCCTTCGGGTGCATAAGAGAGCTGGTCCCCCTCAGAGATTTAATAGAAGCTACACAAAAACGACGACAAAATAATCAAAATGATAGCTTTCTTCAAAAGAAAGAACCGACCGCAGAGACTCACAGTGACAGAGAGGTGATGTGTCCACTGAGACGGCACAGCTGGTTGAGCCAAAGAGGGGCAGGCGACGGGGGCGGAGCCAGAAACTGGTGATTGTTCAAATCACATCTTTTCAGACAACATGACTCTATCAAACCATCACCCGCTGACATTAAGCATCTCCCCCCCCCCCCCCCTCACACACACAGCCTTTCATCAGTCAGTATGTGGCAGCGACTGATACCGTCCACTATGCCGGCGTTTCTACAGATGTTTCTCTATACTCCCCACAGCCTTAGAGAGAATACATATAAAGAAAAGTATTGGACGGATTTGTTCAGTCTAGTCACCCGTTTACAGCTGTTGTATTTTCTTCTCAAAATTAACCACATCCAATACCCCCCCTCCCCACAAGTAGAACAGCTGCAGTCTTGAGATTTTCCAGAGGATGAAAGCGCTCAGCGCCGACATCTGCTGGTCGACAGGAAAACTACCAGCTAATGTAAGAAGTTCACGTTACATAACAATATGGGTTCAAAAAGGTTTATTGCCCCTTACGGAGTTAAGCACGAGGAAAAGAGATGAGATTAAATATCACATATATATATATTTTATATATATTGCAACTGCTCTAGAAGCAGTAAAAAACTATTCTAGAAGCACATTATCACTTTGTGTACAGTTTCTTATGAACAGGGTACAAATAGCAACCTTACTATTTAAAACATTTTCAAATACCCTACATTTTAAAACAGAGTCCAACCGATTGAAAAGTAAAGTTAAAACCGTAATACATGCTCGGCGAAGGCTGACCTCACAGAAGATTTAGACGCGGCCGCTCGCCTTCCTTAAATTAAATAAGAACACTTCGTAGTTTCAGCACTGACGATTACACGCAACGTTCGATAGCGCCGTCCGAGGTATTGGTTGGGTCAGTACGCACAAACAACCGTGAAAAAAGGAATTCTAAAAGTGTTGGAAAAAAAAAAAAAAAAAAAACCCGCTACCTTCAAGCACTAAATTTCAATACTGACTAAACCACAGTTCTAGTAAAAAAAGGCAACCTGTCAAACATTTCTATCAGATACAATTCATGTGACCAGATCGTGATGGCGGACTCAAACGATTACAACTGAGAATCACTTTCCATGGCTCCGTTTTCAGGCAGGAGTGAAGCCGCTTGGCAAAAGCTCTGCTCGATGGCTTTGCTGTCCGATTTGCCCATCCCCAGTCGCTTCTTCAACAGCTTGTCCTCGTTATTCAACTTCGTCCGGATTGCAATTTTTATTTGGCTGCTTTCGACGCCAAACTTGACTCCCACATGTGCTGGAAGAACAAGCATGAGAATTTGATTCATTTCCATAATGAAAAGCCCCCAAATCGCTCTGTGTGACCGAAAAAGTGACGCTAAAATGTTTCTCCATCTTACCGATTAAACTTCTCAGGATCTCAGGAGGGAGCTGAGGCTTGTGGCAATCCTCCCCGGTGAAGGTGTTCCTTCGGCCCTGCAGAGAGTGCGTGGCCAGCGTCTCTCTGTCGAAAAGTATCATCAGCAGGGCTGACGTGTACTTCTTGTAGTCTGCAAACTCTGCGATGCGCATGTAAAGATTTTTCGGTACTCGAAGATGCTCCGAGAGGTACAAAAAGTTTTGATCGTCCTGTGGGATAAAACAAAAAAGCAGAGGGTAAGCTTGGAAAACACACCGTCAGCGGGAGGGGACACGATGGCGGATGGCGAGCCTACTCTTATGAATCGAGCAACCTTCCCAGAGTCGGGTTGTCAGAAGACGCGGAATAAGAGCACTGACTTGTGGGATATCGAGTTCCTCCGTCATCTCCGCCCCAGACTCGGCCAGGAAAGAGACGTTCTCGTCTTGAGAGGTCTGCGCCGCCGCCGCCGCCTCGCCTCCTTGGATCACGTGATCCAGAGTGACCCGCAGCTCGTGTGCGGTGTGCCTCATCTGCATCATCAGCGTGTTCATCTCTGTGAACGGCGTAAGAAGTGCTCGATGGCATGTTTACAGCATAGAGCCAGGGCCAAGGGGTTTTAGCAGAAGCTATGAGTCCCTTAAGAACCCAGGTACTTTTCCCAGTAATTGCCGCCTATTCAATTTGCTCATATGGAATGCTCGCCTGCAGACAGATGTACGCTTTGCATGATTTGCTGTGCAGTGAAAACGTTGAAGGCAATTACAGTAAACAAACTAAGTTTAGTTTAAAAACTAGTAAATGATAAATAAAGCATTACCTGTAGTTCCCAATCGTTTTCCACCCACCTTTCAACTCCCTCAGTTCTCTCTCGGCCAGAATTCTGCACCTGCGCTCATATTTGAGTTGCGCCTGCAGCTGCTCGATTTTCATGAGCAGACTGATGGTGTCCGTTCTGATGTCTGGGCTTGCGATGTTTTCTTCGTCAAAGTCAATGTTTTCATGCTGCAAAAAAAAAAAAATAGAGAAGAGATCCCATTAGAAGCAACCATGTGTTGTTGTTGTTGCACAATAGCACGCGAGGACGCGCACAGCTCACCTGGTTGCCGGGGAAAGGGGAGTAGCTGCACTCCTCCGCCAGCCTGTACTTCTCCTCCACGGCATCGCAGCCAAACTCCTGGGCGTCGGTGGCGATTTTCAGCATCTTGAGCGGCGTTGGTGTTGCAGTCTCCCCCGCGTCTCTCTTGGGCGGCATGGGAGGGTGGAGACGGGTGTGGGGGGTGTGTGTGAAGAGACAATCTGTGGACAGAATAAAAAGGTCTGACTCATCGAGCGCGAGGCTCCCTCCGGGCAGCGAGACGGGAGTTCAAAACTTTGAAGCGAAAACTTTTTTTTGTTTTGTTTTTGTTTGCACGTCCGTTTTTCGAGACGAAAAGGGAAAAGTTAAGTTCGCATCGCATCGCCCTCCCCCTTCCTCCTCAACCCCTCCTCCTAGCTTCCACATCGCCGCCGAGCCGAGCGGCACCGGCTGTCCGTCGATAACATCATCGATGCGTGTGACCTTTGGTAACGGCGGCGCGCGGACGAGGCTCACCTGGCCGCGGGGGCTCTGCTTCGCGGACAAACTGTGACCACCCTCACACCGAGGACAGAGACGGCGCAGTAAATGCAAATACTGCGTAGTAGAGGAAGTAGTAGTACTACTGCCGTAGTACAGTACATAGATCCCGATACAATTACCGGCTGATTTACTACAGCCGCGCTAAAGTGTCCCGTTTAAATACGTTTGAAAAACTGCTCCTGTGTTTGTGTTTTACTGCGTGTGGTAGACGCGAGTGAAATTGCGTTGCTTTGTGAAATGTATATTTTTACAATTATGTGCGGAACAAAGGTGCGCAAACGTACTCCCCGAGGGAAGTATTTCACCCATGTACAGTTTCCTGCCTACCTAAATGTGTTATTTGACCAATGAAAAAAGAGTGTGTTGACTAAAGGCGGGACAATAAGAAGGGTCTGTGACGATCAGCCAATCAGCGCCTTTCTTCTACTGTGACTTCAGGCTGTCTAGTTCGGTTGAGATAAATCCATGTGGGTCCGATGTTGACTTGCTCCCACAGAAAGTGGAGGAGATAACTATTCACAGTTACGTGTACGCGTCTAAAAAATGTCTTCGACTTTCTTTTTCAAGAAAAAGGGCAACCTCAAGTTAGCTCAAAAGGGAAAAAATACAGCTGCACTCAAACGAAAGGTGAGTGAGCTGAGCTGTTAGCTAGTAAGCTAAAACGAGTAACGTTAGTTAACCAGCAGGTTAACACATGTGCCTCGATCTGATCTCACCTACCGTTCCTACTGGGTCACTAATGCGAAATCAAGCGAAGTAATTCATCAATCACCTTTTCGTTTTCTCTCTCCTGTTGCAGGGCGATGGGGACCAGGGTGATAAAAGTAAGATACGAGCCAAGAAACTCATTTCTAAATTCAACGAGGAGATTTCCAGCGACTCTGAGACAGATGGGTGAATTTCTCTTGTGCTTCCTTCGTGGTTTGCGAATTGACGATTTAATATCGCATACAAAGCGGCCGTTGTACGTTTGTGACTTGGTGTCTTTATTTGTTAGTCCCATAGACCCCAGGGACAGACAGCCCCACGAAGACTATGAATATGACGAAACACCACAGGAGAAGAAGCTTAGATTAGCCAAACTTTACCTGGACCAGCTAAAGGAACAAGGTGAGCGTTTATTATCAAAACGGCATGACTAATGGCTTGAACGTTACTTCCATGCCTGCATATATATGTTTATTGTATGATCTGACATCAGAGGAAGATAAAGCAGAGAAAGACTCCTTTGAGACTGATCTGGTTGCTGGAATACTTCAAGAAGAAGTGGTAAGAGTATTTTCTGTAACTATAAAATAAAAATGCAGTGCGGATAAAATGCTGAACAGTCCTGCATGAATTTCGTCACGCACCCTATACCTACTTTGTTCTGTTCATCCTGTCTCTGCCGTTGTCGGATCACTTTCCCCGGCTTGATCTATTGGTGTGTTTTTTGTGGTTTTCCCTCAGCTTGAACAAAAAGGAAAGCTTCAGCGGCTCGTTGCCAAAGATGTAAGTATGGGAACCGTCCTCCCTTTTTAAATCTCCACAGCATCTCCTTCGTGTGAACAGACTGACTCCTATTTCCTTTTTGTTCTGTGTTCTAGCTCATTCCACCGGATGCTTCAGAGATTCGGATGCTAAGAGGACACAAACTTCCAATTACCTGCCTGGTCATCAGCCCTGATGAAAAGTACATCTATTCTGCTGCCAAAGACTGCTCCATCATTAAGTGTTAGTATGCGTTAATATTCTTTGTTTTCATGCTTTGGGGAAGATTGTATGATTGGGGACGTACACTAAATGAGGGTGAATGAAATGTATAATAATATACCTCTCAATTAACCGGTTTTCTTATTTATTCAGGGGATGTCGAGAGTGGGAAGAAACTGCACACCGTGCCTGGGGGAAGGAAAGGTACCCAGGACCGACATGTTGGGCACACGGCTCATATCCTGTGTATGGCCATTTCCTCAGATGGGAAATACTTGGTGAGTAGTAATCTATATCCAGCTTTGGCCGGCAGTTTGCCAAAGTGTGACTCGATGTTTTAAGAATCACCTTTTCCTCAACGCCTGTTAGGCCGCAGGAGACATGAACAAACTGATCATGATCTGGGAGCCAGAAACGTGTAAACATCTCTATACTTTCACCGGACACAAAGGCCCTGTGTCGGTACGTTCTCTCTTTGTCTGTTACACAAAATATGGTTTCCCATGATTGCATTTACACAACTGGCGAGCAGTCGTGGGTCATCGTGTGAAACGTAACATGTGTACTTTTTCTTCTCAGGGTCTTTCCTTCAGGAGGGGAACTTATGACCTGTACAGCGCCTCTCACGATCGCTCGGTAAAGGTGTGGAATGTGGACGAGAACGCGTATGTGGAAACTCTGTGAGTGACCGAGCGAAACGTTCTTTATTTCCCTGCCAGCCGCTGGAATTTGAACGTTTTGAGTTGGAACTGTAATTTTGATCCGCTGTAGCTTCGGGCATCAGGACGCGATCACAGGACTGGACAGCCTGAGCCGCGAGCTGTGTGTCACGGCAGGAGGGAGGGACCGCTCGGTGAGGGTGTGGAAGATAGCCGAGGAATCTCAGCTGGTGTTCCACGGCCATGAGTGAGTCCTCGTCCGTCGCTCCTCTCGTGTTTTTTGTGTCGCCTCATCTGAACCCTTTTTGATTTCAGGTGCGTTTGTCGAGGGTCAGAACTGTAAAATAAAGCAAACCGCTGCACACACTGATTTTGATTTGTCCATGGTTCAAACACCCCACACATTTTCTATTGGCAAGGACAGGTTTAGTTTTTTTTAGTTCACCAGAAACTCCTTTAATGGAAAGTTATGCCGCACACAAATCTGCACAAACTGGTCACATACAAAATTTAAATAACAAATCGAAGACCCGTAGAAGTACTCAGTGATTAACTATTGAGTTTATTATATAGAGATTATTGAACGAGTGAACCACAGCAACGATTTTGGACAAAATTATTGGTTGCCAGGAGCAACAGCACACTTAACTGAGCACAAAAAGAGGGACTACAACCACCTGTCACTGGTCTTCCTACAGGGGTTCAATTGATTGCATCCAGCTGATAAACGAGGAGCACATGATCACGGGAGCGGACGATGGGTAAGTCCGATACAGTCACATAGCCGGAGTTTCACAGCTTTGTTCCAGAGTCATTCATAATTCTCTTCTCCGTCTCCCAATTTTCTGTACGACTCAGCTCTGTGTCTCTTTGGAATGTCAACAAGAAGCGGCCTCTCAGCACAGTGAAAAAGGCTCACGGTTGCCATGGCGATGCAGGGCTGCAGCAGCCTCATTGGATCTCTTCCGTAGCGGCGCTTCAGAACTCTGATACGGTCGCCTCAGGTGCTTCTTCCGGCTGTGAGAGTCCTCCTTACCGGCTTTTTAATACCACACATACACTTCACTATCATGTAGAGAACACATACTTTTTCAGTTCTTTGATGAATGCAAATGTAATCGCGCGAATGACTGATTAAGTGCCCGCACACAGTAAGGAGGTTCTGTAGTGCTGTAAAGTTACAGCTGTTCTCCTGTACAGGTTCACACAACTCAACGGTCCAGCTGTGGAAATGTGGCCAGAATTACCGCGGGCTGGAGCCTCTGTTCACTGTACCAGTGGTGAGCTTTTGAATTTGCGGAAATGGTTACGTCCACATGTGTGAAGTGTTACACATTTACACAGCGTTCCTGTCAATCACAATGGCAGTTATTGTATCTTTTCCTCTTTTCTTTCAGTCTGGTTTTGTCAACAGTCTGAAGTTTTCCAGCTCTGGTCAGTTCTTGGTGGCAGGAGTTGGACAGGAGCACAGGTAACCACGGCCCGTCGATGTTCAGAGAATGTGCACTAGGTGGCAGTGTTTATCCAGCCATCTTCTTCTGTCACCGTTAAAATGATCGCACACAAACAAATATTTTAATCATTTGTAATGATTCACCTTTTCCACCGCGGTTTGCGGCACTGCTACCTGCACGTCAGTTTTGTATCTGCTGCCTCTGAAAATGGTTTTGTTTTCCTGCAGGTTGGGAAGATGGTGGAGACTAAAAGAGGCCAAGAATGCAGTTTATATTATTCCTCTTAAAAGGAAACTTCCAACTCCAGAGGAAACGAAGACTGCTGAATAGTGGACTGTTGGCTTGTATTTAGTAAATTAAAGGTTTTATAAACTGCCTGTGTATAATGTTATAACTTCTTTTATTAAGAAAATGAATAATTGTTGAAACTGCCAGGAGTGATTTTGTTTATTTTAGGATGTGAAAGAAGCTTTAACAGCTTAAGTGAAGGAGTGTGTGCGGGGAGCTGTGTCTGACGCGGCGCAAAAAAGTAGGTGTACCAGATGTACCATCTAATTATGTTTAAACCATATATTTTTATTATCGTTCAAGTCCTGCTAGTTTCTTTTTCAAGTTTTCTATAAAGTACAGCCTAAAAAAACAGTTTGGTTTCCCCCTTGCTTACATCGTCATGGTAACTGCTTTGTGTGTAGGCTATTCTCAGCCTCTCATGGCCAAACATTAAATTACAATGAACCACAGCCAAGTTGTTAGTTTGATTTATTTAATATTTATAACAGTTGCAATCAAAGGGATGTGAAGAGCAGTACGATTATTGTTGGACCTAAACATTGTTAACTATAAGTTGCATAACCCAGGTGACAAAGTTTTATTTTATTAACAAGAAGCTTGTTCCCTTTTGCACTTTAAACATTCGAGCAGGTGTCCTTTGTCACGGAATGTTCCGTTACTTGAACAGTCATTTGTTTGTACATAAATGTTCAGAGGGAATTACATTACTACCAAATGATTTACTTTTACACTAAAACATTTGAATGACTTTTTATTTTGTAGTTAAAGTCACGTAATTGTCAGGAAAGTCCAATCAGTATAAATCTGGCTATGTTTCTATAATTACAGATACAGCAATTCTTAAGTCCTCTGTGTCTGAATGTCATGTTACACCTCACGACTCCACATCTTCACCTGTTTGTTACTCAGAAGTAATATTGAGTGGATTCAACTAAAGATTTTAAAGGCAGTTCATTTGGTATGAAGAGAGCGGGAAATAATCAAAGCATGTTTGCAAAAGCTGTTCTTGTCTCTGAACGGCTGGATTTAGTTTGATAATGTCGAGAAATGCACGAGTGAACCCAAACCAAACTGTATTTCATTTTTTAATTAAAAAAAACAAGCCTTTTATTTCCATAAATTACAGGAAAGCACACACTGTTAAACCAGTCTACAATGACACCTCCTTTATATAACCTATTTGCCTACTTTTAATCACGTTCACAAAGGTTAATCACTTATTTAAGAGAACAGAAGGGCTAAATTCATGTTATATCTTTTTTTTCATTTATGTCTACAACATTTGGATATATTCACAGCACTTAAAGGACAAGATAAGAACATCCTTTTGTTTTTGTACAACACTATTGCTTCACAACCACCCATTTGACAACAAGACTCTTTAGGACAAGGCACGGTGCATTTAATCACATCTACATCTGTAAACCGAGGAGATCACAGAATAATAAATCTACAAAAAGGCTTTGCAATTGATACATACTGCTTGCTGTAGGAACATAGTTTAGCCTTCACAGTTAAGAATGATCCTCTCTGCTGTCAGTCGGTCTACCCAGACAGAGTTACCTCTCTGTAGCATGTTGGATGGGACGGGGGCTCTGAGGTACGCAGCCCTGTTGGATGGAGGGATGAGTAATGATGGAATGGCCTCTTGTGCTTATAGAGGGAACCTTTTTTAAATTTTTTTGTTTTGTTTTACAAAGAGGACGTTGTCGAGTCCACCACCTCTCGGCCGTTGCACACTGCTGGCACGTAGTTCGAGGCGGATCCTAGGAGAGGAAACACAGCGACGTTTGCCAGAAAGTGTTTTTGTTAAATGTCAATGAAAGTGTAAAAACGGCCAGACAGCCTCTACAAGTCTGTCTAGGTACGTGTACAAAAACCTCAGTTTGCATGCAAGTAGTAACTACATTTACGGATTGCACCGAAGTACAATTTGAAAGGATTCTGTTTACTGTATCTGAATGCTACCTTGCTAGTGAACAGAACTTCTTATGAGTTGATAAGATGTGACACATTGGTACAGATTGATCTGATAACAATAATTCATCAATCAGTAAGAATAATCCACTATATTACGTAACAATACAACAATCAAGGAAGGAATTTGTCTGCATTACACATACTTTTGTTGTTTAACTAAAATTAAAACTAAGACTTTCATCAAGTCAATGCTCCAAATCAAAATACAATTCTCATATTTAGGCAATAATCAATAAACTAGCGTAAACCCTTTAATTGCAAAGTTGTACTTAGTACTAAACGCTATTTGGGCCCTCAGAAGTTACACCCCGTTGTTAGTATTAATGAGGTTTACATAAGACTTATCCACATGAATAAAAACGTAGGAGGATTTTAGTCCTCAGCCACATTGACGCAAGAAAAATGTGTTTTTTTTACAAAATGTATATATTTCAAGTAGCATTCTTTGTTGATTGCATTGTAATGACTTACATCCTATTTTAGAAACAAATCAACAAACCAAACTGATGCAGACGATTAGAGTGCAGCTAATATTGCCCTACAGAAAGCTAGAATTTCTCCATGGTACCAAATAGAGCGTTGAGAACTACGCATAGCGGATACTCGTACCTTTGGAGTAGCTGGAGTTCGGCGCGGAGGCAGAAGCAGACACCGTGGCACTGAAGCGGTTGGCTGTGACTCTCAGTGAGGCCACGTTTTTCTGGGGCTGAAACAGGATGATGTGAACTTTGGGAGCGAAGAGGCAGCCGAGAACCACCGAACCACTCAGACTGACGGATATGCACATGGTCGTGGTCTGCACCTGTGAGGACACGGAGAGCGGGTGATGATGAATATGAAGGAGTGATACATTTTGTTGTCAGATTACTCATACATACAACCAGCTCTCCCCAAACCGTTGATTAACCTCCTTGTCAATTATGCACTGAAGCCATAATGAGCTCAATGTTGTCATTATACGTCAAATCATGTGACTTAACTATAATTATTTGCTTTTAAATGAGTTTCTGGGGATTTGTTCTAACTTTACTCTAAGCTGTCGTATCAAGCAGTTCTAAACAAAAACAGAACTCTGTTGCAGCTGCTTCATATATATCTATAAACAAAGGTAGTGTGCATTTGGACTTTTGGGGGCCTTCATACACCCAGAATATTTGAATTGAAAGTATATTCCGTAAATAGGCTTCTCTGCTAGATTACGATTGTATCCATTTAGGTGTCTCTAAATTGGTATCTTGGAGAAGATCTGTGTCTGAAGCCTCTCACTACTGGGGTCCCTCAAGGCTCCTTCCTGGGTCCCTTCCTCAATTCTCTCGTCTCTCGTCTCTCTCTCTCTCTCTCTCTCTCTCTCTCTCTCTCACCTTCCTACAATAGCTATGCTGATGATAGCCAAATTATTTCCCCCTGAATCTGAAACACAGGTAGCAGCATGAATCTCTGCCTGTCTGATGGACATCTCCCAGTGGATGTGTGGGACTAGACTACTTTTCCTTTCAGGCAAAGGCTCTCCCATCTACAACGTTACCATTACCATGGACAACTCCATGTCAGCCCCAAACCTGACTGCTGGGAACCTCAGTATGACACTCAACGCTTTACTACATTACTGCAACAACACGTTCCTGTAGATACATACTGCACAACATCAGGAGAATACATCCCCTTCTCACTCAGAAAGAATGGCAGGTTCTGGACCAGGCTTTGATCATCTCACACCTTGACTATAGTAACTCCCTCCTGGTAGGTCTACCTGCTGGTGCCATCTGACCTCTGCAGCTCACCCACAATGCAGCAGCTCGACTGGTCCTTAACCTTCCTAAACATACATCTTCCACCCAAAACGAAAAACAGACCTCTTTTGACAATGCCTTTGATGGGTAGAACTTCATTAGCGCTTAAGATGGCACTTACTAATCGAACTTTTAGTTTGGCTTTCTAGAATAAATTGTACTTTCCTGATTCTTGTTGTTCTGTGTTTGTACCGTCGTGGTTGAATGCACTTATTGTCCCTCTGGATAACAGTGTCAGCTAAATGAAGATTAATGTTATGTAATATTGTAATTTATTATTCTAGCATTATTAGATGCATTATTAGTTTGTGTGTGTGTGTGTGTGTGTGTGTGTGTGTGTGTGTGAGACGCGGATAGTGGGGGTGGTAGAGTGAATTTCAATTAAGAAAGTTAGCTATTCTAACTTTGTATCAGTATGTGCATAAATATGAGGGCAAGAAGAAGAATATGGAATAAGCACAGCTTGCTGTCCTGGAAAGTCAGCGCTTTGTTAGTCATATTTCAGCTGTTAATGTGAGCGGACTGCTGGGGTCATCTTGCAGAGTAGCCTCTCCTCCCACCCCACTGGTTACCCCTGCAGTCCAGGAACTTCTATTTGCAGAACCACAGCATGAAGTGAAATCCCTTCTAAGCACACCAGCCAACAACACAGGAACATGCAAAGTCCTCATCCATTTAAACTGGTGAAAACACTGCCACGTCTGTGGGTAATAATACTACACGTGTCTTTCGCCTGCAGTTCTTATCTCTTTCAGCAATGAAGCTGTTTCTTTTTAACAGCACTTTATACAAATAATTCTGAATCTCTAGTAGAACGTACTACTTGCACACTTTCTTTGTCTTTTGTAATTCGCTTTTTGAAATATCTGAATTTTATTTTCAGAATCTATTTTAAAATATCCAATGTATGTGATTTATGTAGAACAAACCCAAATATAGTGCACATGCATTGACTTGTTAGTTATCAAATAAGTCATCAGTGTTAATCAAATAAGAAAATGAAATAGTTCAGGCGTGTCAGTGTTTCTGAAGACAAGATTATATCTCTATTGATTCGTGAAACTTTGAGTTCACCAGGATTCACAGGGAAACAAGAATCGTTTCCCATGACAGTATTCCTGGGCCATCCGACCCTAATTTGAAATGTGGCAACTGAACCAACAGCCATTATTATTGTTGTCACACAGAACCAAAGCAGCAAGGTCTCTGTGCAACGGCAGACGCCTCCTTCTTTCAATTACTGCTGCTTCTTCAGTATGAGGCTGTATATTCTACAAAGATTGGCCAACCTCAAATCCCACAGTGGATCAGGAAGGGTAAAGGTTCACGGTTTCGCCACTATTAAAGCTGAGCACTACAGACATGAAGAGCCTGAGGTATCGCATGATGATACAAAGCTTGTGTGATCTAACCCTCCCCCGTATGCAAAAAACAAAGGCCTTGTTGCACAAATAGTGTAGCAGTAGCCTTGAGTCTGCCCAAAGACCTGGTGCTCATCAGCTTTAAGCCCATTCGTCATATTTATCTTCCTTTACACAGCATAGATAAATACATTAATTTGTCCGCTGCTGTACATTTTCTACTTGGGGGCGTTTTGAACCAGTCCAGTAATAGTTATGCGTGTTCAGCCCATTTATTCAATGTCATACATCCCATGCAGGCTAAATGCAGCCCTTAGCCTTTGTGTAGAGGCTGAAGGCTGCAACACTTGTGACAATTCAGCAACAGTTATGTCAGATTTCCTCACACTGTTGCATGAGGCAGTACCACGAAACGAGTCCCTTTTACTGCAGACCATAGCACTACTTTGTGAGTTCACCATAGCGTCATTTGTGATTTTAGCATATGATGACAAAAACTGTAATAAATCTCCACAAATTCTTGTTTGCACTGGAGATGTGTTATTACGCATTTAGCAACGATTCAATGACTCGGTTCGACTGTCATCAATTATTTCTATCTGTATATTCCAGCATAATGTGTCTCTAGTGTCTTTGTTCTTGTCTTGAAAGATCCTTCAGCCCACATGAAATGAAAGCTCGCTCTTTCATGAGCCTGGGTGACTTTGATCAAATGGAATATGAAAGTGACACCTTCTTCTCTAGGAATGATAAACACACTGGGGATAGTCATTTATAGACTGTACATTATTCCACAGCAGTGACCTTAAGAAGTTTCTCAAAATATAAATCATAATGATCCCCATACTCAGTGGATATAATAAAAAAGAGGTTTCCATAGATAGTTACCCTGTAGTCACTGGCAGTGACGTAGAAGATGGGCTGAAAAGCGAGCCAGATGATGCAGGTGGTGTACATTGTGAACCCGATGAACTTGGCCTCGTTGAAATTTTCAGGGCACTTTCGAGTCTTGAATGCATAGACGGTGCAGAGGATGATGAGGACGCAGTTGTAAGTGAGCGACATGAGCATGCTGGAGTCCCTGCTGCTGCACTTGAGGGTGACCACGTCTCTCCTCTCCGGGCCCACCTCTTTCCGAACCCCTGGCACCTCCACCAGCAGCCATATAACAGCCACCAGCAGCTGACAGGAGATGAGAGCGCCGCAAATCGCCACCTGGGAAGCGGGGCTGATGAAGCGCGGCCGCTGAGCTCCATCCTTCACCCCGCTGAAGATGCGAGCGATACGGTTGGTCTTGGTGAGCAGGGCTGAGTAACACACCGCGAATGAGGTGCCGAGGCCCAGGCGGCGGAGGGTGCAGACAGCAGTGGACGGTTTTGCTATGTAGATGAAGGTCATGAGGTAGCACATCAGCACTCCGAGCAAGAGGATGTAAGAGAGTTCACGTCCGCTTGCTTTGACCACAGGCGTCTCATTGTTCTTGAGGAACAGGCCCACGACCGACAGAGTACACAGTATACCAAGGCAGGAGATGGTGACTGGCCCAATGGCCCACGCGTCCTCCCACCGGATGTATTCTTCAGGTAGATCATAGCAGCCGGTCAAGTTAGCCAGGGGCCACTGACCGAAGCTACAGTCAGCACAGGTGAATGCATCTTGCAGGTACTGGTAGGGCTGACAAGGGATACAAATCCAGCAGCACACATCTCCAGGCTGCATGCTCTTCACCTCGTTCTTCCTGCAGGGGTCACTGCACTGGGAAGTGGGTGGTACGAGGTCGGGCCATGGAACCAGGCTGGTGTTCAGGGTCAGGTGTTGGTCCCAGTAGCCAACTTTTCTGTAAACAAACTTTCCCTCTTCTTTGTGGTAATGAAAAATGTTGTAGCGGCTGATGCTGTCGCCAAAAGAGTCAAAGCGCACCATGTTCTGTGTGTCTACAGGTCTGAATGGAGCTGGTAGAAAGAAATGCAAAAAGGATAGTAAGAAACATGTTGTATATCAATTACATTTGTATTTATATATTCTTTTCCAAAGTTGGTATAGCAAAGACTGATGGTACGTTCCGTCAGTATTTTAAGTAATGCTTAAAAATATTCAAATGACCATATGGAAATGTCACTGTGCTGCACTGTATGGCAGGGAATACTCAACATACCGGTCTCCCACCATTAAAGCTAAGCCCGCCCACTGATTCAAGCTAAAATATGAATTATATTTGCTAATTGATTGAGCCTTTTCAGTGCTGCAGAGGAAATGATTTGATCTTTGAACCCCTTCATACCGTTTGCCAAATCATTTGTCTCCACTCACAGTTATTAAAATAATATCTCACATGAAAAATTCACATAAAACACAAGTGTCCTTGTCATAGTAAAATCTTTTACCTGAGCTTTCTTTTATTTCTGCGTTTACCTTCAAACTTGGTCTTCAAGATGAACTCCTTGTAGAACCTTTTGCCATTGCCTGGCTTCATGGCGTCACAGACCTTGGATGTGTTGGAGCATACAGCCTGCCTCATGTTGTGCAGGGCGTAGGCCATGGCATACACTGCATTTACCACAAACATGATCTTGGACTCCTGCTCGAAAGTCCCATCTCTCAGGTTGTTATCGCTGCAGCCTGCTTCTTGAAGGCTACAGCCAAAGCGGTGCTCCCAGAACTCCTTGAACCATGGGTTCCGCGTGTTGGTGTACGGGTTCAGCTTGGTGAAGTAGTCTTCGAACTCTCTAATTGGGTACGAAGCCAGCTCTATGGTGAAGGCCCGGTCGGCCGCCATCTCGCTGCCCCTCACCACACTCTCCTGCGCCCCCCACCCATCGCTGGCCACCCAAATGAAGGTGGCGTTCATGCGGGCAGCCGACACCAGCAGCTCGCGGGCGTCCTCGCTGCGAGTGAACAGGATGACCACCTTGGCGTTGGACTTCTGCTGCAGCGCGCGGATCACGTTGTCGTAGCCCTGGCGGTTCATGGTGCGGCTCACCTTGGCTGAAGTGGCGATGCAGACTTGCCGATTGCGGGCCTCCTGCTGGAAGGCGTCGATGCCGGTCTCGCCATAGTCGCCCTCCGATGCGACTGTTGACACGTAGGTCCAGTTGAAGTAACGCAGGATCTCGGCCATGGCCTTGGCCTGGTAAAAGTCGGGCGGTACGGTTCGGGCAAAGTAGTCGTATCGGGTCTTGTCGCTGAGCTTTGAGCTGGTGGAGGCGTAGCTGATCTGAGGGATCTGGAACAATCGCAGGAGGTTAGCCACCTGTTGAGAGAGAGGACAAAGATTTTATTTGGTCCTATCATATTTTAGTGTAATATTATGGGGTGACAGGAACCATAGTAGAAGAAAACCATTTAAGATGTTGTTGCTACATATATACATGTTGTTTGTATCCTTATGGTTGAAGTCGCTTTGGATAAACGCGTCAGCTAAATGACATGTAATGTAATATCAGTCACATATTACACGTTTATATTACCATGGTTCCTCTAACTATTCTAACCATTTTAACAGTGATACAGTTTCAGATTCATATGCATCTGGCCAGCATAACAAATTATAATTGAATGTTATACCATTAAAGTGGCTTAAATGGCATGACAGTAGTGCAGTAAGATCATATTTTCCCCCAAGATGAAATTCATAATTTCAGAACGTACTGTCATTGTGATAAACCCTTTTTAAAATGCACGTCTTCAACAAAATGCTGCAATATTACATTTCAAATCCCTCAAGTCTTGTTAAACCTTTTTGCTTCTCGGCTTGTAGATATCCATCTGGTTTTAGGTGAAGTGGAGCCATGAAAGGGCAGAGCCGCTGTCTGATGTATTTCAGCTGTGTGGCGGAGCCCGGCGGTGGAAACAGCGACAATTCGGTTTCTTTATCTCAGACGGTTTACTCTGTCAAGGATCCACATCACAAGCAAGTCACAAATCCCCTTCCAGAGAGTGTCTGATAACAATAACTACAATGGCACAGAGATTTTTGTCAGTGTTGTTTCTGTTGCTTCTTTGAGTTAAAGCCATTCTGTCGAATCATTAAAGTCTCATGACAGACTCTGCCAGAAGTCATGATGCCCGCTCACAGCAACCCAGACATGTGTATTGATTCTGCAGATAGTTGGTGGGGCTGAGTTCAACCAGGATGGATTATGATCTCAGGGATGTTGGATGTCTCTGTCCATGTTGGACACAAGCCTGCAGAAACAATGGTGTTAGAGAAAAACAAAATCAAGGCAATTATTTTCTGATACTGCATTGCAGCGCTGACTACGACAGAGATCCGGTGAAAACTTGGCATTTTTGCAGGATTCCTTCTGAGACGCAGTGATTATTAGTGAATACCCATGAGCTTCACTATGACTACCTCCTCTCTAAGGGATCGTGTTTGCCTGGAGGCTTCCCAAACAATGGCATCGCCATGGAAGTAATGGGAACCTTCCAGAGTCACACGCAGAGTGCCATTAAAAGTGTTGCTCTTGGTCACAGTTGGAGAAATACTTTTTTTAGTGATGTTATACATTTATGCTGTATGTGCCCATTCAGCACAATCTCCCTGAACACGTTACTCATTGATTGTCTTTCGTTTAAGCTAAATGTTCATTCATTGTTTCATGGGCGAACTATTGACTCCTTTAAGCTTCATATTAATTCACTACCGGTGTTACCTAGATGCCAAACGTTGAAATATTTATCTTATCAAAGTTAAATCTATAATTGATACATAAAACAATCTGATGTTAAAATAATGAGGCAATAATCGAAGGTATAATATCTTATTCAACTGTTTAACTGTTAAACGAAGATCGTAAAAATGGCCGACATTGTTAGCATCTTCGTCAGTTTGGGCTATTAGCATGCTGTTAGCTATTAGCTCAAGGAACCGCTGTGAACACAAAACCTCAGAGATCTCTATTTACTTTCTAATTCCCTTGTGCCCCTTCTGATATCACAACTCTACCCCCCAACGCGTTCACCTCAACGCCAGCCTTAATATAAGGGCAAGCATCTGTAAGCACGCGCTACTGGACTACGGCTAACAGAGGAGACAACTTGTTATTTATGCAATGCAAAAACACACAAATGACTGACATCAACTCTGATCTCTGAGCAGCCGTGTGCTTAACCTCCTCAAGCTGCAACACCCAGAAGACCAGAGCCATCAAGAAAACACAAGGGAAGCACACTGCAAGTTCTTGAGGGGATGAATGAAGTACATATGATGTATTCAGACAAGCACCCTGCACCCGGCAGTAGTCCTATCCACTGTTTGCAGCAGAATATAGGGCAGAAGTCCCATCAAATTACCCACTGAGAGACGGGATTACTGTTGTTGTACACGACCAGATTTGCATTCACTGATTCACTTATGTTGCCCGCGAGTACAAGCAGCCACAGCAAGTCAGCCATTCACACTTGCATAGTAATATGGCACTTTCCTCTTGCAGGTTTTTCAGACAGGCGTTTGGCCTTCATCAGACGGCGCACCTTTCAGGACTTTACTGGAGTGTGTGACAGTAGCTGTTTGTTTGTTGCCATGTGGTATTTCCCTTTTTGCTCCGTCCACCGAGAACTCAGACGAGCGTGTGCTGCAGTTGCAGTCGCCCACACGCACACCGGCCTACACAAACATGTTTCCTGATCATACTACATACATCAAGGTGTGTGTGTGTCAGAGCTTAGAATCAATGTCAGAGAAGAAGGAAATGTGTGTTGATCTGCTTGCATGGTCTGTTTGAGAAGAAGACACTTCCTCAGGTTGCACTCACATCTTTTATTTCCTCCCACCTGTAAAACAACGCTCAGCACAACGGCGACCTTTCGATCCACTCGCAAGTACCAGGATACGTCTCGGAAAATGTTTCCACTTCATCATGTGCTAAGCTTGAGACATTAAAATATCACTCGTAGCCTCTAGCCAGCTTTGAAATAAACCTGATAAGTTCCTCTAATCTGTCGTACACAAACACCAGCCACAGGTTCAAAGCAACGGCCGAGCATTTATTCCTGCAATCGCGTGTGGAAGAAAAACCAGCAGCTCTAAGCAGCTCCAAGTTAAAGGAAGCGCGTCTAGAGCTCGACGGCAATCATCATTGGCCGCGTGGGTCCGGCCGCTAACCAACCTTCCAGTCATCGAGATGTTCCTCCTCACTTTGAATGGCACTGTGGTGGGCTAATTAGGGAGCTGTGGGGCCCGAATGTGCTAAAATGTTCTGTTTAAAAACAACAGTCTCTAGGAGTGAAGAAGAAGAGGGGGGAGGAGGGGGAGGAGGGTGTGGGGGGTGGGGGTGGAAGGGGATTCAGCTGTAATATCACACGATAAACAAGACCCTTTTGAAGTTAACACCAAAGCAGAATTTTCTTTCGGGCCGACTGTGCAATCTGTGAGGACAGAAAACACAATAAAGACGGAGCCCTCTCCGGTTCATCTGCTCGACACACGGACAGACTTAATAAACCACCGCGAACCCAAAATATTAAACATCAATATATTGCAGAACAGATATGAGCTCTTATAACCTGAAATTGGGGAGGACCTGCCAGCATCTCAATAACGCTCATCTGAAGGGAAAATGGCTGCTACAGTAGCGCCATTTTACTCATTTCTTAGCTCTTTAGTGATTATTAGCACAGCATATACAGCCTTCTTCATTTATCTTCTTTCTGTGAATAATCAGGTACAGATATGTGGCTCAGTTTCTTATTTCCGTCTGAGCTTAAAGTTATAAGTCCGAGTTGTAATTATGTTTCTAAGAAGGTTTCAACCTTTTTTACCCTGCGTGTGTGAAAGTATACAGACTAGTGAATGTGAAGATAATGTTATTTTAGTAGAAGTGTGGGTATAGTTCGGAATGGTTATAATGTTCCTTTTTTTCATTATGGCTCTGTGTGGTTGCGTTAAGCACATAAGCGTACAGCGTGTAGGCTGTCGGCACTGAGTCATCCTTCATCGGGACCCTTTCTATATATCTCTAACATCCCAGATGGCAATAAAGATGACCCCCCCCCCAAAAAAAAGAAACAACGAGACGAGCGGAGGGACGACCGCATACAGCAGAATGAGTGAGAAGATGATGAAAGCCCCCAAATATTGCTCGGCTAATTATAACAGAATCCCTTTGAGGCGGAGGACAAACGGGCTCGTCTCCCATCGTCCTTCCCGCCTCTCGTCCTCGGCCCCCGGAACGTCGCTCGCCTCTCCACACGCAGGTGGGATAGTCCTCGCCAGCCAATGGACATGCAGCCCACGGATGGGAACAAAGCAGCTCCTCTCAAAGTCCCGTCCCTCCTCCTCCAAACGCTCCTCGTCCTCACAAAAGTGCTTCTCAGGGATGAGAAAAGGGACCCCGCTAAATAATCCCACCACGGGCACTTCGGCGCTCTCACGGCTCGATTCATTAAAGCGCGCAGGAAGCGGAGGGCGCTGACAAAGAGGCTTTTGAGCCAAGTGACAGTAGAGGTATGTATTCAAATTCATACAAAAACACTCAAAAGCAGTGAGTTTCTTTTTGACTCATTCACAGTGACACACACACACACACACACACACACACACAAAGTCCTTTTCATGCCTCTTAAAAACATGCTGTTCTTTTTTCAAAGGCGTGTAACTTTGGTTAAAGGATCTATGTTATCCACTTCTTTCTACGGGAAGGAGCCCTTTGTTTATAGGTGGACATCCTGCGTCAAGTCTGTCCATGGATGTGATCTCCATTCAGCTCCGGCATGCTGACACAAAGCACTCAGACTCCCCGGTAAACTGCTCAAAGGTTGGAGGATATTCTGACGTTGTGTCAGCAGGCGTTAACAAGGGAACCACAGTGAAAGGCGCAGCAGCTTTTGACTTATTTAAACCATCGGGGCTTTTAACTTTTAACTGTGTGGCATTAGATATCAAACACATATCCTAATTTTCATACTTCAAAAAAGGAGAAATATAAAATAATAAGACAGAATTATGAGGATTGTGACAGGCTGACAGTGACAGAGAAACGGGAGTAAGGCAAATAAATATGGTATTTCTTTAAAAACATTAAATGGGAATGTTTTAGGAAAACAGCACATGTGCTTAAAAATAATTTCAACCGAGTTATTTGATATGCGTTCACTAACTGCACATATTCAGCATCTTGCAACGGCATCATCGTTCAGTAGCAATCAGGCGAGTCGGCCGCGTAAACGCTGCTGCATATTTGCGAGCAGTGATTCTGTCACCAGGAGTTCCAGGTGTAATATAAAACATTCACGTAATTGCTTATTGTATGTCATGTGTGAGAATGTCCAACATAACGCTGTTATGTGAAATCGTCGCGGGCAGCATGCACTTTAATCGGCTCTGACCTTTTCAATGGATGTGTGTGTGTGTTGCTCATGATGCACGTTGCCAAAACAAACTTGATATCCTCCAGCAGAGAAGCTTTATCCAGTTCTGTGGTGGATTTCGCCTTTGTGGATGTTATTTAAGGTCTGATAATCCTCACTTTGTGATGAAATTGTAGCATTTGAACGAGCTACGTTTTCCCTCATTGTGATCTCCAATCGAATTAGGGAATCAGGGTCTGTGACATTACCGGCAAACCTCAGCAGCGATGGGTGTGGAGCGCCGGAAAACCAAATGCGTTTTTTGTGAAATGGAAAAATCTTTGCAGGGAAAATACGTCCCCATTGTACTTTATAGGCATAACTATTCAGACCGTGTGATGATGGTCATGATCCTTGGGTAGTGGTGGGAATAACTGAGCTCGCAATGAGCGTCCCCCCGGTGAGGGGCCCGGGCTCAGATGGGGTAAGAGTCCTAAACACGAGACGGGCGCTCGGAGTGGAGCCAGCCTTTGTCCAAAGGGGTTTGGGCATCTAATTAGGGGGCTTTTTCAGACGTCGCACTACAGAGGTTTTTGAGCACATCCAATTGGTAAGGGGCCCCCGGGGTGGAACCAGAGGGGGGATTATACGTGTCATCGGGAGATCGGGGAACCTCTCAGAGGTGGAATGTGGGATCGATGTGGCGAAGGGGAAGAGAGGGAGCGCCGGGAACCGCAAGCATGGCCGTTCGAGCCCCGGGCTGCTCCATGTCCCAAATCAAAGGGTCCCTGAGCAAGATATCCAGCCCCTAATTGCTCCCCGGGCAAAAATATAAAAGCCATGAGTTAAAAATGTAAGTCGCTTTTGGATAAAAGCGGCAGCTAAAATGACCTGTAATGCAATGTTAGTGTGGAAAAGGACGTCTGGAACACTCGTTAAGTCTGCTGCCCCCCCGACTCCGAAGAAGCATCAACGGATGGCTGGAACACTTGGATTCCAGATTAGGCAATATCTATTAAAACTATCTTTTAATTTAAGATCTCGTAATAGATATTTAAGATAGAATAAATAGATATTAAATTAAACAGTAAACACTGACTTTCAAATAGCTATAATAAGAAGCAAACAATTATTATGAGCATTAAAGTCATGGGAAGCCACCGCTGTAAGGAAATAAACCGCGTGAAGACAATTTAAGTTCACAGGACTTAAAGTTCCAAAGCTTTGCTACAAATCCAAAGGTAAAGCGTAATCTGTGTGTGTGTGTGTGTGTGTGTGTGTGTGTGTGTGTGTGTACATGTGTTTCTAATAAATGTGTCAAACAAACTTAATTGTACCTACACACTTTGTCTCACCAACAGTCAGTGCATCATGGTAATTATGGCGTGTGAGGGCAATCAGAATTAATTAATGATTTAATTATGCTCAGATGCATTGCCTTTAGCAATCTTTCATGCATGTCTGTGTGTGTGTGTGTGTGTGGGGGGGGGGGTATGTGTGTATATTTGAAAGGTCAGTTTCCTATCCAAGGCATAAATGAAGTCGCTGACAAAGTGATGGACATCTCTGTGTTAGTGTTGATGCTTCAAACAGAATCATCCCAGGTGAGTTCTCATTATAGAATATTCTGACCTCTGACTCAGTAAAACCAGAGATGCATTTTCACTAATTATCTGTATCATTGGAAGGGCAAAGTACCAGTGACTAAGACCCTGGTGCAGGTATGCAAGCTGTATCACCAATTACCAGCATTAAACTATTGATGAAAAATAGAGTAGAAGTAAAAATCCTTATGAACCACGAGGACTTTGGTTTGGTGAGGTTAATACAGCTTTATAACCAAATCCAGCTCAAATCACAACAAAGAAATCCCAAATGGTGCAATCATGACACAGTCAAGTTGTAAGTCATTCACCGTGCAAATAACAGACATTCCTGCTTTTTGTCATTTTATTGCCATGAGGTCCGAACTGACAGTAGTACCGATGCAAGTGGAGCGTAGAAAAACTATTCATGATGGGTGTGACTGGAAGTAAATAACAGGCTGTTATTTGAGTACCAAGGACTTCATTTGAAGTTACAGTAGCGATTTAAGTGACGTGTTTTCCGTACTTACATTATGTTGTTTTACGTTTGACTTAGTTTGAATACGTTTTTTTTAAGCCAGCCACGATATTTTTCCTTAACATAACTAATCGGATCTTTCTCATGAGTTCAGGTTCTGCAAAATCAGGTGCAAATATTGTGTTATAGTCTTTCTTCATGCAAAATATGTGCATTTCAGTTATAGTTACGGTGAGAGAAATGTTGTGGGTGTTTCTGAAAGTTTCTCATTTACCTGAATGGAAACGTCACTGTACGATCCTCCAATGACCCCAGAAATGGCAAGTGGGACCTCGTTTTGGACGGGCCTGGAGCCGTCGGGGCAGATGAAGCCTGGATCGTGCACCTTGGTGAGGGAGGCCCTGACGAAATCAAGGGACTGCTCCAGAGCATAAGTGTCCTTGGAACAAGTGTCCAGGATGTGGGCCCCCAGCTGGAGTCCGGGAAGGATGCGGTCGCTGGAGTTTATTTCATCAAGTGCCAGCAGCATGGCTTCCAGTCTCTGGATCCCTCTCTCCTTGTTGATCTTACCGCAGTCTTCCATCCCGTCACCTTTGTGGTGCACCGGGAACAAGCCTCCGATCACCAGGTCCCCGTCCATGATGATCTCACGTTTGGCTGCCGGTGTTAATCTGGAGGTGTTGGGCAGGACTCCCGGTATCAGCAGCTCCAGCAGGAGCATGGGTAATGGCCAGTAATGGGCCGACTTGGCCAACGACCTGGGGCAGAGCACCACACGCAGCATGGCGGGACCAGGTAATGGGGTTCAGCCGGCTGAGGTCTCGGGGAGCAGAGGTTCACAGTGCCGGGAGGCCGATCGCTGTCACGTCTTCTCTGAGTGGGTGCAGCATGTTGGATGTTTCTGGAGTGGATGAAAGGGGGAAACTAATTGACAGTTAGCAGGTAATCAATCGATACAGCCACCTTCTCAGGTTTGACAGCATCCGTGGGCAGAAAATGTACACGTGTTATTTAATGAGGAATGAAGGAAAACGACAAAACTAAATAATACATGATAAATAATGTACTATAATAGTATGACGCCCACCGACCACACTTTCATTTATTCTAATCCGTGACTTTGGCTCACCGTGTTATTTGAAAGCATAACAACCCCAAGGCTTTAAAAACAGTATAAAAACAGCCAGTTTAGATCCAAACCTTCTTTGCAAGTTGTTCTTTGCTGTTTTCCTATTGATTTTCGCCTCATATTTCTCAGACTAATGCGATCAATAGAAATGTTACAGACAGATAATTCTCTTATGGTATAGTATAGGACTCAGACTGTTCTGTCAGGGGGCTTGAAATCGGTTTTAAGAGTTTACTTTTTAAAGTAAAACTGTTTGATTCAGCCAGGCGCTCTGTGATTCCAGTTTGAATCCTAATCACTGCAGTTTTTTTCTGAAAGTATGCCAGGTGACCACATCCGACGTTTATAAATATTTAAGACACTTCTCTAAGTGAAGCGTAATTTCCAAGCTCACAACCGAGACTCTCCTCAATGGCTGGGGTTACCATGGAAACATGGTGGGTAAAAAATAAGGGTTGGACGGCAGGGAGGTGGGCAGCGAGGCGCGTATGCTAATATAGATTCCTATCAAGTGGAGGTTACGGGTTTGGGCCTCACCAGGAGCTGCTGTGATGTCTGATTAGGGGAGGTGGGCAGCTTTAATCTCAGAGGGCGAAAAACAATCCTGTTTCTTTCAAACTAAATCATTTAGCACATTCATCAAACACAAAAGTTCAGCAAACAGATTGATACAAACGGTCTTCAGCGACTCATCACTTGCAGGATTTTCGGGATTATCAGTTAACGTTGCTTTAATGTGTAATGTGATCTTTTAAGCATGTTTTGCTTACACCCCCCCCCATCAACCCCACAAAGGATAAACGGAATAGAAGATGACTGACATTAATATTCAAATTCAGGTGATAGAGCCTGGCTGCAGGACGTATACGCTGCGTCTCCCCTTCTTAACCAGGCCAGCTTATTAGTGGCTTCATGTATTGTCTCGTGAAGAACCCTCCCCCCCCCCCCCCCTCCCCTCCCCTCCCCTCCCCTCTCTCCCCCTCGCCCTCTCTCTCTCATATACATCATGTGTGAGCTGTTTGCGTAGGCCTGTATATGCAGGAAAGTGAAATCACCACAAATCCCCAATTCGTTTCCCAGCTGCGCACGTGGTCTCTTAAAAACAAAAACAAAAACACAATATATAGAAAAAATGTTTTTCCACCCTCCAAAAGAATTGTAACTGTATTGATTGACATTGAGACGTGCCGCTCTGGAGGCATTCTGCAAAGACAACCTCTCTTACAACAAACTACACTTTTTGTCATCGACATTTGCACACTTGCATAATTTGTGAGGGGGGGCAGAATTAGTCTGTTGCACCATTTTTTTTAATTCAGGAAGCAACACAATAATTAATTCAGTATGTATTCAGCTTCATCGCTAACTGGTTTGTCACCTTCACATGAGCGCCATCACCTTTTCCTACGTCGCCATCACCACACTTTCCTCTCACCTACGCGTATACTTAACACATCTATTCAAATGTTTCACATCCGCACTAACAATAGATGCTTTGCAGTTAGGAGTTGAGAAAAGAAGAACTTTTTCTGTGTACACTGGCAATTAAAAATGACGAGAGGGTCTTGTTTGTTGCGTAATTCCCTCTGCTAACACAAAGGGACCAATTTCCTTTTGAAAAAGAATTGTAGTTTACATTACAATAGTTGAGGGCATGTGGGCGGAAAGTAGAGTTTAGATAGCAACATGCCAATTAAAGTGGAGTGAAATTATAGAGGACAGAAACATGTGTTCGTAGGCGGTGGTCAATGCACTTTACTCTGACTGTTGCTTTCTTTGTGGCTTTTGTTAAATGGCAGAATGGCTAAAACAAAATTACACGCGTTGGGAAACTGATCAGATACAACAAGCAACAAGCCAAACATTTGGTCAAATGAGGTAAACTTACAAAGTAGCTGTACTTTCAATTTTGAAAACTATTTTTACAACATAACTATGTGTCCACCAAACAAAACAGACATGGACCGTAAAGTCAAAGTTAAACCCTTTAACGTCACTGCAGTCCCAGATTCCAGCCATTACTTTTGTGAGCACCCGCAGAGTGATTATTGTCAAAAAGAAGAGTGATCCTAAACTACAACAAGTTCTAATAACACAAAATGACCGTTTAATGTGTTAAAACAGTCGGCCTAGCAGCCACTGCCACACCAATGGGTTTGATTCCCTGAAGCCAACAAATGATTCATCGATTAGTTCCTACCTGATGTGTGCGTGAGACGAGGACCCAGAGAAGTGCTGTGCACACAGGCAGCGTCCCCGGGCCTCATTCAAGCACATTCATCTTGTTTAACTTAATCGTCTGGGAATTTAACCCTCTTCCCAGCCATCAGCATTTAGATTAAAAATGTAAACACAGACTATAAATCATTTTATTTGTAGAACATTAGTCAAGTAACAGCTTTGCACGCCGTCAATTAAGTCTCTTCGGCAACTCCAATCAAAATAAATGAATGAATGAGGGATGCTGTAACGGGATTTTTTCTTTACAGTTCCATGAAAAATAGTAACATAGTTTGACATGGGATTATCTGGAAAAATGACTCAAATGCACAGTCAGTCAGCAAAAGATCTCCATAAATGGAATATCTCAGCCTGGCTGTATGTAATGCTAATCATTACTTAGTACTCAAGAGTCATTAGAAAAAACTCTTTTATGCAGATTTTTCTTAGGGCTGAAATTGTCTGGTTGAGAAGCTGTTGCATGATGGGAGTTTCAGATCAGAAAAGCCGTACGATGCTCACTTGAAAAGGGTGCAAACCAGGCTTTTCTCAATCAAAATAAAAGGAGAAAAAACGGACACTAACGACCATCTTTCAAAGGCATCAACACTAAAATCAGACCACGGGTATAAAGCGAAAGGCCTTTTGTCCTCTTCCTCCCTCCTTTACGTCGGCGGATGATGATGCAGTCGACATGGGGCTGCACCACGTGCTGCATCGCCTCGACTCACCGGGGACATTTACTGCACCTCAGAGGAGCCAACTCTTCCATCACTGCGAGGTTCGGATCGGCCACTAAACAGGACAGGAGAGTCACTGCGGACCTTCATACCCCGGATGCAACCGGTTCAGACTCCTCCCCTCTGATTGCACTGCAAGACCAGCAGACCACTATTACCCTTACCGGCACTTTCCGTCATTTCTGTAATTGGATCTTACCAAGTTGGGACAATTCTGTCAGACAAATATAAACAGCTGGCAAAAGGCTTTTGTGGTAGTTCCCTCTATTGTTGGCATCTACAGGACCACATTTTGTCACGATGACACACACTCGCAAGGTAAAAACTATACCAGGGCCGCTGCTGCAGCTGGTAATTAGCATGTGCAAAGAGACAGCAGATGGTAGAAAGTAACACAATATGACAGCTCGACAGAATATTATGCCAATGGATGTGTGAGGAACGTTTCAGGAAGTAAGAGGCAAAATAACAGATATTTGCTTTCAGTGATGGTGAAACATTAGTGGTCACATGGCATCTTTCTCCTCAAGACACCAACAATAATCCTGGAGTGCTCGTGAGAACGGCACAAAAGGTTATTATGCATTCAGTCACACCCTCCTCTTTGGAAATGAAGCCATTTTTATATATCAGAACATGTGCATCATCAACAGACCAATGGCAACACACACCGCACAAATGAAACACACGTAACACTTTGACAGCGCACACAATATTAATAAAGAACAGTGCATGCTAGGTTGAATCCAGCTCCCCAGTGACCCTCTAAGGATAATTGGTATAGAAGGTGAAGCATCTTTGTTAATTCTACGCGCTTACAGGAATGCCTCAAATAATAAAACCAAGCCCCACAAGTCAAACAACAAAAAACAGGATTCACAATGTTTGCGGTTAGCAATGCGAGCGGTGGTCAGCGTACGAACAGCAAATTACGTTTCAAGTAAAATGTTTGAACGTGTAGTCAATTCAGTCGTGTATCATTTTAACGAACATCCCCACTTCAGTGAGAAAAAAATTCAAGACACTCAGGTTACCTGAAAAGGTTCTGCAGCATTACGGTTTTCTTCTGTCAGCAAAAATCTAAATGCATTCACTTTAAAAAGGTGACTAAAAGAATAAATCTGGTTACACGATATCTTTTTGTAATACTATCAACAGATCCAATGGAATGAGCAAGTCCCTGTGTGGCCAAATTCTCCATTGACTTCCTGTTTTGTTCATCGACTATTAGAAACACATCAAACATGTTCCTTCCCATAATGAACATGGGCACCGTTGTTTATTCAGACTCGGTGCTGCACACATATTACTGGAGCACCAAATCCAAACGAATCCACTATTTACTCCTCTTTCTGTAACGTAAGCCATTTTTCTATGCAGCGAAATGGGCAGCGAGGGTAGAGAAGTCTGAATGTAGTGGGAGTATTAATTAACACAGCATTAGTTTTGTTCTTTTCATTGGATCCGTTCACAAAAGCAGAAATGTATTATATTACCCTTTCACATTTCCCCATTTTAGAAATGAACTCAGACAGACTTTTATCATTTCAACATCTCAATTGTCTCGATTTGCATCCTTTAAAAAAATCTTCATCTGAACTCTTTCGTCTGTGGCTGAACTTTCACTCCTCTCCCACAACGGCACCCAACCACTGGTGAGGCGCTGGGCCCTTCTCGTCCCAATCTCCATGCGGCCGCTCCTCTCGCCCGGCCTGCTGCTGCCGCTCGCGGTCCGGCTCTTGGAACGAGGCTCCGCCGGAGCTTCTCCCTCCGAAGCCTCGGTCAGGCTCGTCATCCCGGGCGGAGGACGCCGCCGGGGACGTCTCTCTGCTGTCCAACAGGAGAACCCCACTCCCCGAGCTGCACTCGCTGTTGGAGTCTGCACCTAGCGATGAAACGAGGAGGGAGGGGTGGACAGATGGTGAGCGGAGTCCTATAAACAAACACCACATGAGAATCTCTACGCTGCCCAAAGGTAACATGCTGAGGTTCAACCAAAATCTGCAGGGCGGGATTTGAGCCGCACTGTGACCTCAGCTGAAAATAACTAATATCTATTTTACAATTTGCGCTCAGTTTCAAAAATGGGCTCGTCAAATTCGGACAGATTATACTCGGAGGAAGACGTATGTCTTCAAATGAATTGTAAGTAGATCCATTTTCTTTCAAATATTCTTTAGGGAGATTGTTATTTTAAGGCCATAAAAAGACTCTGCAGCCTCGCTGGTGATTAAAATACTAACATGCTCACAAAGACACAGTTAACATTTCATCTCATAAAGGTTTGCTGATTAGCTTTGAACGGTACAGTTAAGGCTGCAAAGGAATTCTATTAGTCATGGACATAATTAGTGCTGAATAACTTAAAGCTTTGACCCGATGACGACACTGGATGAAAAGTCAAGTTATCAGAATTCTGTCCTATTTGATATCACCCATCTAATAAATATTGAAGTAGTTCACTCAAATACACAAATGTCAACCTCAAGGTGGCGCTGCAGGAAAAGTCGTTGGGGATCCCACGGGAACTATAAATATCTGTTCCAAATTATATAGTATATATCTCGTCCGTACACATTCAGGGTCCAAACCACTTTGATGCATAACTTCTGTGTTTACTGGACTAATAATAAGGGGTTTCTTAACACTTTTCTCTCTCTGCTTATCTTTGCTTACATGTTTCTTATAAATCAGCTCATTAGGTCTCCTGCTCTACTCCGGTTCACAGAGGCAGCTCCACCAATCCACTCCTCTGTTTTTCATTGTGCTCCTCACTCGATCCGTTTCACACCCGTGTGTCGTTTTGTCGACCTTTTTGTGAGTGTGTGTGAGTGTTTCCACATGACACTCTGTTATTGACCGCAGACCCGACGACGATGCACATAAGAAATGACCTTTCATACCAAGAATGAGACAGAAGCCAGAAAGGACATTTTGTTACAAAGCAACATGCAGAACATTAACTAGTCCGACATTTTAATCAGGAGCAACACCGATGAGTTAATGAGGGAATACTTAACGTTCACGTGTGCTGAGGGGTGCGCTGTAAAGCACTCGACTCATGTTCTTGTGTCACGCGTGCACAAAAAATTGATTATAGTAAAAGAATATGGCCAGTTAAAAACAATTCATAATGACATAAATAAGGAGGGCTGGTTGGCATGGA